AAAAAAAAAAAAACCTCTCTGAAACCAAAAATCGCTCCAATTTTGCAGCATTGGGTTGAAAGGTTTCATTAAGGTTCAATACTGTTGATTTAAATGAGATGGGATTATTATCACCCATTGCTTACATTTCTTCTTCAAATCCTCAAAAGACGGCAAGGGGAAGAGGGTATTCTTCTTTGCGGTCAAATAATGTAGGGGATTTAAGATGAGAAGACTGATTTGAAAAAAGTGTGCTAAATTCTGATGTTTTCAGCAAATCTGACTTGTCATCCCCCCCAAACAATCTTGAAATAAGGGCAAGGAGCCCTGACCTTTCCCAGAACGATGCACTTCATCATACAGAATAATTTGTTTCTCACGATTGGCCTTGTCTGAAAGCATTGGCATATGGCAAGCTAAGACATGTTTTTTTCGGCTTGTTTTGTCTGGGGTAGGGAGTAGCCTTGTTTGAAAGAAAGCAAGGATTGGTGAGGATTTTTGAGTTACAGTATTAGAATTGCTAAGAAGTGGGGAAATCGGCAATGAGGTAAAAATCATTATTTGGAAATTGGGTATTTTTTTTTTCTTCTTCTGCTTTTCCTTTGTTCGGTCTCCACGTTGCTGCATCCTGTTGCCAAGCTCATAGGATTGAAAAGCCTCTGCTCCAATATGCTGCTTCTTGGTAGAAATATGATTGGCTAGTGTGCTTTCTTTTTCAGCCAATTGAAAGATGAAAGCTGTATGATCGAATGTGTATGTTGCACAGCTACGAAGGAGGAGAGAGACAGCTTTTATTAGTCTTCCATATCTTAAAATTGTTTAGTATTACTTTAGAATAAGAAAATCACATTTATAAAATAATTAACTGTAACTCTCTTTATGAAGAATGGTCCTGAAATATTGTATATGGATATTTGTCGGATTTTAAGTAAGGAAAGTAGTAAATGCTCCTCTGTGGTCAAAATGTAAACCTCCCACAAATATTGGCATGGCATTGGCAGTATTCAAGTCATTTGCTTGTCCCTGAATAGTACATCTTAATAGCTGTATTCTGTATTAAAAAAAAAAAAATCCTCTAGGATTCAAAATGTAGGAAGGTTTTTCTCCTTTAAAATAGTTGGGAAGCGTTCTGCATTTAATGAGTTTGTAACTTTCCCTTCATCCTATCAATTTCTCAGTCAAATATTGTGCTTTTTAAAAGTACAGCTTACATACCTGTACCATGACCCCTCTTCCATGTTTAATAGCTATTTCTGCGAGATAGAATTAATAAGGTGAAATATTTCTGTCAGCTGAACCAGAGGATATGAGATGGAACGAATACATTGTGAAAAAGATAAACCAGCCTTAGTGCTGCTGCTTTGATTAGCATAAACCTAGAAAAGGTTCAGTCATAATTATATTATGCTTATTTTGCTTACTTGAGCTATACTTCACACATGTTGTATAGTTGAAGGGGTTCCAGGAAAGGTATGGTGTACCAATATTGAAAGGCATAGTACATGAATGTCAAGAAGCTGTTTTTCTAACTTCCATTACTTTTTATTTCTGTCCTCTTTAGAACAGGATTAATGTGCTGTACTGTTCTATCCTAGGATTGTTAATGCTTTGCTATTTTATACAATACTCAATTCTCATCAAGGCTTTTCTTAACAGCATTTTCTTAACATTCTGGCATTGAGAAATTATTCTGTTTAGAAATATAATTAGTGATAGGAGTGGGTAAAAAAAACTTGTCCAACTTTTTCCGACTCTTCTTTGATCTTAGTTGTTAGTTTACCTCCTTTCCCCTGAAGTACATTTTCAGCATAAAACCTCCAAAAATTTGCACATCTGTAAATAATCACATTATCAATTATTTTTGAACTTCGATTACAACATAGCTGCATAGGCAAGCATAAAGTTAACAATTGTTTTTTTTATTTGAAGAGTGATTTTTTTTCATTTCACCTACTGTTACAACTATTAATAGTTGGGGTGGATGTTTATATGAGATGCATAAATTATGAAATATGGATGGCTTTTCAAGAGTCATAATTTGTTCCTATAACTGTTTATTTAAATATTTTCATGAATTGGTATGTCTCCTTCAAGATAATTCTCTAGTAAATCTCATACTTCTTTAAACATTCACAATTTTACATGAAAGTTTCTTATGTCATGTAACTTTCTTATGTCATCCAACTCAAATCAAAGTACTTGTATTAACTGTTCCCTTAAACCTCAAATATTCTGAAAATTGTACTAAATAATCTGGATGACAATAATTAATTTATGGGTTTGAATGTTTAATTTCTTGAAACTATGCCAGTAATACATGAGGGAATGTATATACATGGTTGAAGTCTTAAGTTATTGAACAATGGTATAGAAATGGGGGGGGGGGGGATTACATCATTACAATTTGGTACATTGAAGAGGCTTGAAAATTATTATTTTTGTAGATATTTATTTATTTAACCGTCATTCCACAACAAAGTAACTCTAAGCAACCATATAAATGCAATAAACTTTAGGAAAATATAATTTTCAATTCTCAATATATTGAATTGCAACTATAGATTTTTCCCAATTTCCCAATAATGTTTAAATAGTAAGTGCTGTGCTGTTTAATCTGACTTCTGCTCAACTTATATTACATTCTAAAATAGTATTTAGTGATTATAACACAGATATAAAGATTCAGTTTTCAAATAGAGTAGGCTGTATTTTCAGCCTACTGAATAGAATATATATTTAGTATAAAATTGTCCCTGGATTTCTGTTCATAAGCAGGAAAAGCAATTCTCATAGATCTGTTCTTCAAATAACATCTAGAGAATCTAAATAACAATATATGGAAATTCCAAATTCATTTAATATTTGTTTTTTGTTTCAGAGTATGATGCATGACTATCACAGAAGAAATTCATGTCTATAGCTTTTAAGGACTTGATTACATCGTTTTAAAGCCTGATAGTTTTGGAGTCAACAGTTTAGAAATTACAGCTGCATGCATTTTTTCCAAACCAGTGTTTACCTAAGAAGGAATATAAATTGACATACCCTGTAATAGCACACAGTGGATTATTGAAAGTCTCCTTACTGTGAAATCACAGCATAAATCTAACTGGTGAGTTTATTCATGTATATGTGATTGTAAATAATATTTCATGTGACGTATTGTAGATATAAATCAGTATATATTTAAGTAGATATACCATAAAGCCAGAGTAAAAAAGGAAATAAATGACTACACCAGAAAAATGTAAACACAAAACAGAATTTTAGTTCCACTTTTAAACAGCTGCATAAAGAAGTCTTACTAGACAGATTCATTGGAGAATGGTTGTCCATATCTGTCCCCATCTATGCAAAGAAGATAATTCTTACTCTTTTTTCTGACCTTGAAAGCAAAGAGAGCAGCTGCTGTAGCCATATGTTACACTGTATTGTCCGTATTGCTAAGGTGGTTACTTTTTCTTAAAAAATAGTCATTGAGAGAAAAAGAAGATAACAGTGCCAGTTTTTGTAATATTGTCATTTGTAAAGCACAAACAATAGTTGCAAAGCCGAACAGCTCTCATTTTTAAAATTAAAAGGCAAAAGCAAGTCTCTTCAAAGCTTATTACTTTTACTTGGGAGAGAGACATAAAAGCTTTTATTTCCCTCAATATTGATTTCCCAGCTTGCGTTAAGGCAAATTTTATTTTCCTGAAATGAATTTTCAGTTATAATCCCACTTATTTCTGAAGTTTGGATAAGTCTCAGGTTGTTTTTTTTTTTAGCTAGATGTGCCTCCTAACACATAGAGGGAGAAAGGAGAAAACATTCTGGCCAATGGGCAGAAGGAAGAGCCACAGCAGCAACAAAATATTTGTCCTCCAAATTAGTCTATTTACAGTCGAGGGGAAATAGGGATCCGGTTTATCTTTGTACATGGACAGAGATTATTTCTGATATTGATACTATGTTTGGTTGTGAGTTGTTCAGAGAGACAGTTTTCCTCAGTAACTAAAAACTTTGAGTCATTTTTTAATAACTGGCATTTATTAGCACCCTTAAAATTGTAACTACTCTCTGTCAACAATTATGTAAAAACATGCTTTTGTATTGTCAATGTGCTTATGCCTAAAGAATGCCATAAATTCTCAAACTAAGTATTTAATCCCATGGTACAGATTCCGTATAATATAGGAGACACCTGAAATTACAATGGGAAAGAATGGAAAAATAACTTATCTTTGGATACATCATATTTTTGCTACTTATTGGGTCTATTCAAGGGGGAGAGAATCTACTCCATAATTCATTGCAATGCTTGCCCAGACCTGAATTTTGTTATTTTCTCTATAGTTTTGCACCATGCATAATTTTAAGATAGCCTTGTGTAAAAGAACTGTGATTAGAGTAGTTTATATCAAATCTTATAAGCTCTTTGTTTCAGCCACAGAAACAGCAAAATGATTCCTAATGGGTATTTGATGTTTGAAGATGAAAACTTCATCGAATCATCTGTTGCCAAGTTAAATGCTTTGCGCAAAAGTGGTCAATTTTGTGATGTTAAGCTTCAGGTAATGTAAAAGTGTTGTATCTTCTGCCTGGTGATGCTGAATATTCATAAATACTTTAAAGAGAGAATATCTATTTTGGCAATTTATTTCAAATATAGATACAGGTTTTCAACTTACAGCTGATTGCTTAGCAACCTGTTGAAGTTATGATGGATCTACCTGGGAAGGTAGGGTAGGGGGTAATTATGACCTGGATTTGAAGCTCAGATGGTGAGGCCCATGGTCATATGACCACATTTCAGGCACTTGCCAACTGTTTTTAAAAAAATTGGGTCAGTCATGTGGTTGGCCCGATTTATGATAGTGAATGGGCAGGCTCCATTATAGTCATGACTCAAGGACTATAAGACATTAATAAAGTGGCCTTTTATTGCATATTGTGAGATCCGTTCACACTACTTTGAGATTTCTTTTTAAGCCTCTTTTTCAGTTTTCTAATTATGATCATGATTGGTCCAAAATTAATCCTAATTAAATATTTGCATTTATAGAAATGTTTTAATATTTTTAAATCAACAAGAGGTAAAAGTGCTTTGCCAAAGGTTTTGGTACATCATGAGTCACTCAAACTACAGGTTTATAATTTGGTGAATAGTTTCTATTTCCAATTTAATAAATAATGCAGGGTTTTATTTTAATGAAGGTCTGTGGACATGAGATGCTGGCACATAGAGCAGTACTAGCCTGCTGCAGTCCTTATCTTTTTGAAATCTTCAATAACGACAGTGATTCTCATGGCGTTTCTCATGTGAAATTTGATGATCTTAATCCAGAGGCTGTTGAAGTCTTGTTAAATTATGCTTACACTGCTCAGTAAGTGATCTTTTTGTATATTACAAACATTTTTACTTTATACTCTGTCCAGAATAAATCTAAATAATAATTATGTCATTTTAACAGATTAAAGGCTGATAAAGAACTGGTCAAAGATGTATACTCTGCAGCTAAGAGGCTGAAGATGGAGAGAGTCAAGCAGGTATAATGCGGTTTTGGCAGGTAGCAAAACTTGAATGACTTGCCTGAGTTCAGAGGCTGAGCACGTTTAGGCTTAGTTAGCACTCACCATAGGAAACTTACGGAATGCTACAGCTAGGACATATACTTGGAACTTAGTTAAGCCACTTGGTGCTGCCAAGATACACAAATATATCCATGAATGCACAAAGAATTGAGCTCAGTCATACTTTAAAATATAAAAACTGAAGACTTTTTCAAACACATGTCAAGTTAAAGTATATTCAAAGTCAATTAGTTTGAATAGTTGCTGGCACCCTGTTTACATTTCAGTTCTGGGGCCAGTTTTATATATTCTTGTTAACCCATTTAAGAAGTTATATTCTTGTACTCAAAAGATATACCTGATAGATGAACTGGAGACTGTAATCATAATTACACATAGCAACAAAACTAAAATAGAAGTCTTTAGAGCACATCGTTAAAACTTAGACAAGAAGTCTTTTAATCATAGTAAAACCATTTAAATCATTTAGAGACAAGGTGGCCAAAATAATTTGAAATTTATTACTTTGTAGCACTCAAGTCAGTGAATTAAAGTATCTGGATTTTTATAGTAAAATAGCAGTTGTGTATATTTTAATTATTAAATATATTCAAAATGAAAACCAAGTGGGCAAGAGACTAAGACACAAGGAGGAGACAATATCCCTTGAGGGTGGGGTTTTTTTTGTATATTGATTGCAGATAAGTGAATATATTATGTCATTTTAAAAATCAAACTACAGAATACAGAGTCGGGATCTGTGGTGAGAAAATCTAGAACAAAATGAAGTTGAAAAGTTACAATATACCATAATTGTAAACTTTTTTTAAAAAAAAAGGTTTGTGGAGATTACTTGCTGTCCAGGATGAATGTTGAAAGTTGCATCTCTTATCGGAACTTTGCAAGCAACATGAGTGATTTGCGATTACTGAACAAGATTGATGGTTACATTCAAGAGCATTTGTTGCAGATCTCTGACCAAGAAGAATTTCTCAAACTGCCACGTTTGAAGGTACTTATCCCATTTTCCTCCTTCCCCATCCATCACCTTGATACTGTTTTTCACATAAATATTAATTGCTTCAGTTAAGTGTTCCATGAAACAACCTTTTGACAAAAAAAACCCTAACAAACTGGTATCAGGAACATGTATAAGCATTTAAATTCTTGTTTAATTATGATACCATTTGGAAGTAAACATATACTTTTAGCAGTATTCTCTCTAATTGAAAAATAGTTGCATGAAAGTCACCATACCTTTACTTAGTACAGTTGGGAATATTGATTGCACAAACTTGTAATCTTAAAAAGTTTACAGATAGGCAGTTTTGTAACAATGCCACCTCAGCAAGAAAAGATACCGGGCGTGTTTAGTATAGATTTTTCCAAGCCATTTACTGTTGCTCACTGTGACATACAGCCCAGAATTCAGGTCATTTGCACAATTGTAATAATGAAATTCACCAATAACATATAACTTGAACATATCTTTTATTAGGCAATTTAATTACAATAATCAAAACTGATACAAACAAATTTTAGGCCAAAGAAGAAAATGGGAATAAATAGTGAATAAATAGAATAAATTTAGGAAAAGAGAAAAGACATATATAAAAAAAGCGAATATATCATCTGATATCCCATCGCTTGTCTATAAGCAGTTCCATAAAACATCAGCTTCAATTACAGTATCAGCAAAAAGCTCACAATAAGTTATAAAATTTTCAAAATAATCTTAATCAAATATACCAGCTCTATTCCTTCCATTTACTTCTAATCTTAACCTTTAATTCAAAATAATATTGTCATATGATTTCCTGTTCAATTTTTCTTCATCCCACTGCATAAGTTTCTTCAAGGTTTAAAAAGCCCCTTTTGTAGATCCAATAAGAACATTTTCCAGGTCGTTCTGTTGGTTTATCATTTGTATTTATTGGTGACGCAGTGGTTAAAGTGCAGTATTGCAGCCAAACTGTATGCACAGCCTGAAGTTTGATCCTGATGGGGTGGGCGCAAGGTTGTCTCAATCTTCCATCTTTCCAAGGTTGATAAAATGAGGACTCATATTGTTGAGGGCAATATACAAACAATACTTCTTCAGTGTATACCACGCAAATAATGCTGTAAAGCATTATAGAGAGAGATAAAAGCCTAAACGCTATTTCTGTTTAATTTTAAAAATTTAGTCAATTTCTTTTTTTATATCCAGTAACGTAAATGTAACCCTTTCCAAACCTTCTCAATTATTTGTAGTATTTTCAATACTTTCTATGTCTTGGCAGATCTAATTTGTTCCACATTTGTCTTTCCTTCCTTGGACACATGCTAGGCCTTCCAGGACCATCTCCACACCACTGAGACACCCCACACTCTGCTTAATGACTTGTATAAAGGCTTGATGACCATACATGCAAGCGCTAGAATTGCAGTCATTGAGTGAAGCAGTCACATAGTATCTCACTTAAATGCAACAACTTACAACTTAAATTCCGGGGTCACTTTTCCTAAGTGAAGGACTATCTGTAACTAGAAGTGGATTTAGATTAAAACACCAAATAGGAATTCATACCACATCACAGTTGTAAACCACCAGGGTTGGGGAAGACTAACACAATTTTTATTTATTATTTTACTTTGTTCACTGAAGGCTAAAATATATTGTTCAAAATGTTAAACATAGCTTGTTCTGAATGGTTCAGTATAGTAGCCATAGAGCACTAAGTATCATTACTGCTTTTTATTTTGAGATACCTTCCAGGTTGTATGTTTTGAGATAGCAAATATATGCTGTCATTTGTTCACCATACTTCTAGCTTGTTCAGGGAAAATCCAAATTTGGCCAGAAATGTCATTATATACTGCCTGTGTTCAATGGAGCAAAACGCCCACAATCAATTGCTAATTGCTGTTTAGATTACAATTTATAACTTTCTTCCTTGTGGAAAGTGTAACCTCTACTTAGATTCTGTATTATATGAAAATGTATGTAAAAATATAGCCCATCAAAACTGAATAAATCTTTATCCTCTTTACAATGTTTGTTTGGGGTTGCAGGCTCTCTTAACTAGGGTGAACTTAGGGTTGTGCTTTGTGGCCTCAGTGTGCTTTTCTTTTTTATTTCAGCTGGAGGTTATGCTGGAAGATAATGTTAGTTTGCCCAGCAATGGCAAGCTGTACACAAAGGTAATCAACTGGGTACAGCGCAGCATTTGGGAGAACGGAGACAGCCTTGAAGATCTGATGGAAGAGGTCAGTTTTCAGAAAAATGAGATTGGGCCATCTTTAACTGCTACATTTTTCTGAAATTAAGGATGATCCCTTCTCCTTTTTTTGTTCCCTTTAAAACAAAACTATGAAGAATTTAAATTTTACTGTAGGTATCCCTAAGATGAGAAACTAGGGGGGTTTCAGGTGAGCTGCTTAAACTACTGTTCGAGCTGGTCTTCTGTTTTTGTCTCTGTTTTCTTTAGGAAACTTCAAATATAGCAATTGTCTTCACTTTAAATTTGGGGAGGTGGTTTGAAACTTATTTTGTTCTTAATGTATTCTTTTTACAGGCTTTACTTAAAGAGAGAAAGTAGGACAAAGGTTCTAATGGTTGTTCCTCCCCATTGATTTATCTCCCCATAGGTTTATTAACAAAACTAGGATACTCATCGCTGAAGGACCATAGAAGAAACTTCAAGTGTAATGACACGTAAAGAAGCAGCAGTTCTGCCCCAGTTCTCCTATGAAAATTCGCTGTGGGCAGAGAACGATGATGTTTAATGGTGTTTACTTCTTTACAGGATATTTTAACAATTGAAAAGTTTTGTATAATTAACTAGCCTAATTCATGAACATAACTTCAACCCTCTCGTTTAAAAATGAGATGCACTGGAGATTCACATTTCAGATTGTTTCAAAAAATTTATTTAGTTACTATCAAAGGGAAGCCTTAATTTCCAGAGCAATTGTTTGCTGTTTTTCTTTTATACCTGAGAATCTCAGTTACGTAATCAAATACTAATACATTTAATCTGAGATGTAGTAAGCAACCGAAGTTCCTGAAATGAAAAGTAGTTCCATTCTTTCATGCAATCCCTTTTATAAAACATAAGTGTTTGATTTACCTATTTCAAAACTGATTTGCAAAAAGAAATTTGTACAATTTATTTTGAAAGATAATGTACATTATACTTGTTGTACATTTGGATGTTTCTGGCACAAGGAGTACAGAAGTCAAGAAGATTTCTTTTGGGCTGTGAAAACAAGGAGCCTTTATCCAGTGTTTGAAGATCTGTCATCGTGAGAGAAACCTCCCTTTCTTTTTTTAAAAAAATGCCATTCTGCTAGATGGAGAGAAGATCGGGCTGCACTCCTGGAATCCTTATGAAGTTTCTATACAATGTACCATTAGTTAAGCAGCAATGGAGACTATAGCCAGATTGCTGTTCTGTTGTTTTGCAGGTTCAAACGTTGTACTACTCAGCTGATCACAAGCTGCTTGATGGAAATCCACTAGATGGACAGGCTGAGGTGTATGGCAGTGATGATGACCACATTCAGTTTGTGCAGGTACAAAATGCACATGGTCTGAGGTAACCTTAGTAAAGTTGGGTAGAGTAGTACGACACAACTAAAATGTTGTGTAGTATAATGAAAATCAGACATTTCCAGTTTAGAAGACTAGGGAAATACAAACTTAAAATAATTTTAACTTCTGGCTCATCTAGTTTTGAGCTGTGTCTTAATGTATACATGCTAAATACTGTGAAACCAAGAATAGAATTAGATACTCAACTTGAGCTTCCATGAGCTTAAATGTGCGGAGAAGATGAATGTGGTAGAACAAGTCTCCCCTTTCCTTGAGTTCTAGAGAAAAGAATTGGGGCAATTCAGGAGTATTGGAGAAAACAGAACGTGTTTCTGTCACAAGTGGCGGCTAGGTATCAAATCATATAATTTTGAAATCCTGGTGTAAACAATGGGCTCACTTGAGCAAAAAGGTTTGTTGTTGCAGGAATAAATGTGTTCTGGATAAATATGGCAGAAAGTAGTGGGAAAGTTTGTTTCATTTAATAAGATTCCTATTTGTTTTCTGGACTTAGTGATAAGTTATGTTTTTACACTTCAGTTTATTAACTTTTGAGACAAAATTCATATTTTAATTGTAATTTAATTCCCATTTAGTAAGTTTTTCAGTAGTATTTAGTATTTGAAGAAAGTATAAATGGTGTTAACATTGATTTAGAGATGAAGGCCACTGAATTCAGTGGAGAAGAGTAAAAAGGAGGAGACAAGGTTAGGATATTTGAACAAGCAGTGAAATGAAAAATATGGATAAATAGAAAAAATAATGAAATACAGGCGAAAGGGAAATAGGAAGCTGTATTGAAGAATAATTTTATTCTAAAAAAATAGATCCTCTAATCTTAGTTGAGAAATCCTATAGTCAATAAGGTGAAATTTTTATGTTAGCAAGAAAATGGTGCAGTGGTTACCATAGGTTTAAGCCACTGAAAAGTAATACAAATAATACAGAATAGATTTAAAGTAGGTAAATAGTGTTAAAATATGTAATTTAGTTAGATAGGATTTATGTTTTGTGCTAAGCATTCATCTTAGTGCAGTGTGTGAACCCAGTTTTGTGAGTGGTAAACCAATACCTTGTATGATGTGTAAATACAGTTTGTAATACCTTGAATTTGGTAAATGTTGACTTAATGTAAGGAATAAACTATTTCATTTGTATACATTTGAATTGTATTTTAAAATGGAATGTAGATATGTGAAGTTGAGGATAGTAAGTTATTAAACGGAATAGAATATTATTTTGTGGATAAACAAAGCATTAACTGTTTCATCTTGTTGCTAAAGCATCCAGCAAGTTACCTGTGTAGCTGTCCTATTGGATGAGGTTCTACAGCAATAAAAATAGTTCTGAAGACAAAGGCAGAGCAATTTTTGCTCCCTGGCTAGGTTTCTGTAGCTGCCTTTTGATTTTGCAGAAAAGGCCACTCCGCGAGAATGATCTCAAGCAGATAAGTAGCAGTTCTTCTGGAAGTCTTTCACCAAATGCAGCAGTGCAGAATCTTAAACACGAGTGGAAAATTGTTGCTTCAGAGAAGACCTCAAGTAAGCCAAAGTTGTTTGTTACTGGTTTTACTTTAGATTATTTAATTCATGTTAAATGCAGAACTAGTGGGAGGAACCAAACAACTGCTCATGTACATAATAGATATTCTTTTTCTTTGAGTGATTTATAGGTTTTTAGAATTACAACACATTTAGAGGGAAGGATGTAAAAACCTTGGTATACTGGAATTGAAATGTATGTTTTGTTTTTCAGATAACACCTATCTGTGTCTTGCTGTTCTGGATGGTGTCTTTTGCGTTATTTTCCTTCATGGTCGTAGCAGTCCACAGAGTTCCCCAACTAGTACTCCACGACTGATGAAAAGTTTGAGTTTTGAGGTTCAACCAGATGATCTTATAGAAAAGGTGATGTCTCCTATGCAGTATGCTCGATCTGGATTGGGAACAGCAGAACTTAACAGCAAGCTGGTTGCTGCAGGTAACACCATGATTTTTATACCTTGGTTTGAGCAATAAGTTGTCCTTTAAATCTTTTGGACCTGGAGATATACTAATTACCAGTGGCAAAAGTTCATAAAAATTTCATAAAATTTTAAAAGTTCATAAAAATTTTGGAGGATCACAAATCATCTAAGCTTTTTTAAGATAATATTTCTCTAACCCAATAATACATCTTCTGTATGCTCTTTTTACAACAAGGTGGCTATAACAGACAAGAATGTTTGCGCACTGTGGAATGCTATGACCCACAGACAGATTGCTGGACTTTCATTGCACCAATGAGGACTCCAAGAGCTCGATTCCAGATGGCAGTTCTGATGGTACGTTTACAGTAAACAGCCATCACAAGTTCATTTCCCTGCTAAAACCTGTTTAACAATTGTAGTGTGTTAGATTAGGTGGAGGTAGGAGAGTAGGATTCTCTGGAGTAGGAGGGGATCAATATTGCGGGCGAGTATTTTATCTTGAGATAAGCCTTTAATACTAGGCCATTATGCCATCTTAATGGTTTTCATTATACTGATTTAAAAGTCTCTTCTCTATTAAAGCACAGATTTAGAGATAATATAATACAAAAGATCATTTCAACAACATGTATTTCCACTACTCAGGGACAGCTGTATGTTGTTGGTGGATCAAATGGACACTCCGATGACTTGAGTTGTGGGGAGATGTATGATTCCGAAATAGATGATTGGACTCCAGTTCCAGAATTGAGAACTAACCGTTGCAATGCAGGTTAATATTTATAATGCTCTATAAAGTTACTAACTTTAAAACTTGCAAATTATAACTTCTTTTTCCCCCCTTTTGCATGAACAGGAGTATGTGCACTGAATGGAAAACTGTATATTGTTGGTGGGTCAGATCCTTATGGACAGAAGGGATTAAAAAACTGTGATGTCTTTGATCCTATAACCAAATCTTGGACAAGCTGTGCTTCATTAAATATCCGTAAGTTCATAATCTCTTTAAATTTTGGAGTGATTTATTTTCTCTTCTTGCAGATTTTACTTGTTTTGCCTGTAGATGATGTCAGAATTTACAAATGGCATGTTTATGCACCTGAAAATGTAACCCAGGAAGAATTATATGCTGCAAGTAAAGTAAAGCAGAATTTTCCAGAATGCCTAAGTGAAACAATCTTAGACATAGAATCTTGATGCTAAAATAGCTTTTTTCTTCTTCTTTTGTCTTTATAGGTAGACACCAATCTGCTGTATGTGAACTTGGTGGTTATTTGTATATCATTGGAGGAGCCGAGTCTTGGAATTGCCTTAACAGTGTAGAACGTTACAATCCGGAAAACAATACTTGGACCCTAATTGCATCTATGAACGTGGCTAGGCGTGGAGCTGGTGTTGCTGTTCTTGATGGTAAGCACATGGGATTGAAGAAATATTCCATTTTTTTTAACTTTAACAGTTGTTTAATGCCTTGAATTTGTGAGCATACAGCTTCACTTCCATATTATTTTAATCCGCCTCTATATTACAACATCAAGTTGAGTATAGATACTTCCGATAACACTGGCTTGTTACACAGATAGGAAGCGTAGAGTGCACATGTATACGTGCATGTACATGATTGAAAGATGTGAAATTCAAGCTACTTGAAAACTGTCTTTCCTACTTATTGCCATTCAGAGATCTATACTTGTCACATTAATGGGATACACCCGAGTAGGCTTCTGTTTTCCATGTAGCAATGGAATAAATTACAGCATAAACTATTATGTGCGTAACTGTTGCATGGAACAGAACATTTGCATTTAAGTAATCCCTGTCGTAAGTCAAATGCTTTTATTTGGGGGTGACTTGTTCCATGCACTGGTGAAATATGCTGCTTTGCTCTTGGCAGAAGTGGTTTTGTAGGAAATAACAGTAACAGTGAGAAGACAGTACAAATTCGCCTTACCCATTAATATGGTGCTTAGCCCAAACCCAGAACAGCTAAAGTATTCTAAACTGACTCATCTAAAACAATTTGGCAAAACTGACAATTTGTCCTAGGTTTAAACAAAACTAATTAGTTCACTATAAAATTAGTCTTTAGATATTAAGCACATATATTGGGGGGGTGGGGGGGTAGACAATTGAAATTTTGCATTTTGGGCAGTTTATTGGGACACATCTTCAAGCTTTTGCTCTCATTTGCTCCCTAGGAAAACTCTTTGTTGGTGGTGGCTTTGATGGCTCACATGCAGTCAGCTGTGTGGAAATGTATGACCCTGCTAAGAATGAGTGGAAGATGTTGGGTAGCATGACCACACCAAGAAGCAATGCTGGCTTTGCAACAGTGAACAACACTATCTATGCAGTAGGAGGATTTGATGGCAATGAGTTTCTGAATACAGTTGAAGTCTACAATTCAGAATCCAATGAATGGAGCCCCTACATAAAAATCTACAAGTTCTAATTTCCTTAAAACTAACAGGCTTAGTGATGTAATTGTTTTAGTAGAGGTACACATGTGAATAAGGTGGGAGGGAAGGGTTAAAAGTTGCCATCAGCAACAAGGCTTTTGCATATTGCATACTATTAATATGCTGTACATATTTTTTTAGAATAAATGAAGGGTGTTGTATGCATTGGAATTTAATTTAGACTTAATATTAGATTCTTCTGAGATAAGAATGTAAGTTGATGGCATATCATTTCATGAGCATCCTCCAATGTTACATTTTGCTGATTTGCACAAGCAAATATTTTTATTTTGGAATTGTTTCTACTGCAGGAAAGAAACAGCAGTCTTCATTATCAGCAATTACTTTATAGGCCTTTTTTCTTAAATAACTGGAATAATCTCATAAGCCTTATTTAAATAGCTAAATGGCTTTATTTAAAAAAAGTTGACACACTTGCCATTTTGACTGCCTTTTATAACTTTTTATATATTAATAGAGCCAGGACTCTTATAACCTTGAAGTGACAATGAGCAAACAAATGTATGATGCAAAGAGACAATCTCAAAATTCATAGACTGGAGTAAGACATTTAATTTGCTACCATGAGAGCTATTACTTTTTTCCCTCTGCTTTGATATTATATGATCTTTTTAATACATAATTATTTTCCATTACATCTGAATGGACTTTCTGAATTTGAGTGTTAATATGAGTGAAGAAGCATAACTCTGAAATTCCGCCAAGATAGAGGGTGTTTTCTGTATGGTTCTTAAAGCAGTTGTAACAAACATGCAGAGTTATAAGACGCAAAACAAAAAAGTCTGTGCTGTCTTAGAAAGGTTACCTATCTCAAAAATTATTGTATAAGTTTGTATCTTTCTACTGCAAGCTCAAAACATGCTGTAATACAAATTGTGTTTCATTTCTTTAATAATTGTTGTTTGATTCTGATGCTGGAGGGTTGGAGATGCTTGAGGTATAATATTTTGTTCCTAATATCTTACTAAGTACTTCAGCATTTTAAGAACACAACAGAGCTCTGCTAAATCTTAAGTACAACACTTTATCACAGCAGCCAATTAGTGTGCTTGAAGCAGGAGGTGATCTACCCTTGTCCTACTATTTCCCCAACCCCTTGCAAGGAAAGCTTGTTGTCCTAACTCAGAAGTGCCTCAAGATCAATAGCCATTGATTTTTTTTTCTTTTATAAAGTTGTCTAAACTACATTTATGAAGCCATCCAATATAGTAGCCCCCCATTTGATTTTGAAATAGTACCTTCCACAAGTTAATTATATGCTGTGTGAAGTGACTAAATAGTACAGGTAGTCCCTGACTTGAGAATATTATCCCAGCCATAAATCATAGTTATCATGCAGGTCACTCTGACTACACTCAAGTTTTGCAATTTTTTTTTTGCTGTGGTTGGTAAATAAATGCCATGGCATTAAGCAGAGCCATTGTACCCAATGGCTGTTTTTTGCCAGAAACATAAGCAAATACAACTTGCTGGCTAACAAAAGACACAAATCACAGCAGAATCCTACAAACAACTGTAAATGCAAGCTGGTTGCCAAGGACCCAGAATGCTACCATCTGATTGCAGGGGAAATTCACCATAAGGTTGCAAGTCACTCCGGGGAGGTCTATTGTAACTCCAGTCATTAAACAAGTGATCATAAATTGAAGACCACCTGTACTGAAGATACTGGGTTTGTTTAACATCACAGTGTGGACCTTTTATTACTTTCAATTCCTTTAATAATCCTTTAGTATGGGATTTGTCTTTCACAACTGCCACGCAAGAGAGTAAGCCTTCATTGTGCTATCCATTATGACTCAAAAATCTATTGAATTGTCAAATTCATTCAATGTCTCTAAAGGGTGTTCTGGTGTGTATTACTTTGCAGCTCCTTGAACTGAATGGTATTTGCCATTCATGGAAAAAAAATTCCACTCTGAATAGTACTAGCCATAAACATAACCCACTTGTTTGCCCCAAATTCACATATTAATGCTCCCAACACAAAAACATAATCTACTTGTTCTCATTTGAGAAAGTTATTCCTTTTGTTAGCAGTCTACAAAAAGGTAAATCCTTTCACCCCTTTGGTTACTAAGTTTATAGGAACAGTTGGAGAGGAATTTTGGCAAAGGCTTTTTGAGAATCAAATGCACTACAGATGGTAACCAAAACCTAAAGGTTGATGAGGCACACTGAATTTTTGAAAAGCCTTATGTTTTCAGCAAGACATGGTCATCCATGCCCAGTAACAGATGTTAGTTGACTGGCCTATAATTTCCCAGATCTCTCCTGGGCTTCTTTCTAAAATTGGTCTGTTGGCTACCTCCCAATCCCCTGGCAGTGAACCTGATTTGGCTGTTTTATTTTTTGCTAGAGCAATTTCCTGTCTTCCCATAAATCCCAACATTTTTTTTAGAAAGTCCCCCATTTGAAATCGAATGTTGCTGTTTCAGATCCTGCTAGCAATTACCTACTGTCATGCTAAATGTGATGTTTTCTGTTTCAAATTGATTCCACAATGCTTGCATTTTGCGCTATCACTGAACTCCAAGGTTGCCTCCACTCTAGTTGCTTTTAGGACCAAACATTCTAAGGCGTACCATAGTTGTATCAAGAAAATCGTAAGCAGAGCATGATTCACTTAAAACATGTTCCCTTTTGTATGCATTTCTGATGTATTTTACTATCTCGGCCTCATCCTCAGTATTTTGATCAGGACTCTATTTACATTTGTGACCAGATATTGCCACCCACAATAATTCATCTTTCAATGTAGTCTATTGTACATTTTACATTCTTGATATAAAGAACGATTCCTTCAATATAACCTTCCCTTGTAAGATTATATTCAATGTCAACATGAGTTTAGTGTTTCACATATGGCTTCTATTTCCTGATGCGATTATCTATTAATCCACTCCTGACATTGTTTCTATCTGCTATACTTTTATTGATTTATCTACACTTTACTGAACTGGATGTGAATCAGTTCAAAATTTAAATTTAAACTGAATCAGTTTAAAATTTGTTCTGTCATTATTATATTTCCAAGCCAATGAAATTTGCAAAAAAAAAAAAAAACAAATAGCCTGGGAGATCTATCAATTTGCAGGATTTCAACTTTTGAAAAGGATGAAACGGGATCAAACTGGATGTGGTGAAAAACTGGCAAAAGAAATATAAAAACAGATTTGTTTTGATCAGAGGCTATGTAGACAGAAAAAACACCTCCAAAGCCTATTGGTACATTGGTTGGAATGCAGTATTGTAGCTAGCAGTTAGATTGTGACAGGCTCAAGGTTGATTCAGCCTTCCAATCCTGAAATCAGTAAAATGAGGACTCTGATGATGGGGACAATATGCTGACTCTGTAAACTACCTAGAGAAGGCTCTAAAGCACTATGAAGCAGTATCTAAGTCTTCAGTTTCTGTGGAGATTCTCAGTCATCCAGGACATGATTGTCCCAAAGGTGCTTTCTTTTAAAAGGCAACTGAGTTTTCTTGTTTTGCTTGGAAGACATTTCGTTTCTCGTCTAAGAAACTTCTTCAGTTCTGACTGAATGGGAAATCCTTTCTTTCTCCATCATTCAATCAGAACTGAAGACTTCTTTACCTAGAAGCAAAATGTCTTCAAGCTTTCTCTTTGAAAGAAAAGTTGCCTTTGAAGGAAGAAGCATCTTTGGGATAAGCCTAAGTGCTATTGCTATAACTAAGGAGGGGCACTGGGCAGTGGCTTGTTTTGTTCTAAACCCACTTTTCTTCACAAGACCAAAGCAAAGTTATTTTTAAGGGATTGGAAAGAATTCAAGAAGCCATATTTTGCATGCTTTCCCTTCCTTGTTTGATAAAGCTTGAATTTCCTTTATATAAACTGAGCTGTGCCTGTTTAGCTGAACCTGTGCAAAGGAACAACTAGTATTTCTGAGAACTCTACTATAAAAGCAATCATCCTGAACTGAGAACCTAGTGAACCACACTTGTTACCTCCTGCCCAGAATGTTTGACAGCAAACAGAGACATTAAATGACCATATCCACCTAAACATTCTAATATTTTAAACAGCTTTATCTGAACATTTGCTATCTTGTATGGTGTTTAGGGCCCTTTGGATGTTCCCAAGTTGCAGCCTGAGACAGTTGCAGCCAGCGTGTCCAGTAAATGATGCTGCAGGGGGTGCGGGGTTCAAAACTTTTTTTCTATTCCTGTTCAATGTTATTTCAAGGCATCTATTTGCTTCCTGAATGAGACCAGTAACCAAATTATTGTTTGCCTTTTTCTCTTTTCTCATCATCCCAGTCTTTGCATTCTCAGATGGTATTGGGTTAGCTAAAGCTGCATATGTAGCATCATTTCATAGATATCTTGATGGCCAGTTTTTATTCAAGCCCCATTCTCAATCCCCTTCATCACCTGCTCCCTTCCCCAGTAATAATAAAACCTCTAAAGTTAGCTAATTACTTCACTTAAAGAAAACTTATAGCAAAGGAAAAAGTAAAATTTAGAATAGGAAGGGAAGGAATTATTTTCTTGTGAATGCATGATTCTGCAGCTCCAGGTCAGCTAAAATCCCTAAAAAGTATTTCTTGAGACATGTGCAACCCCAAACCATTTTTTTTTAGTGATCCTAGCTGGAAAATTAAATCTTGGCCACCCTCTAGGAGCTTTGCTTTGTGTTCACTTCCTTATCAAGTTTATTAGATGGCAGCCAGGGAGAAAAATGGGGCATAATGGGGAGAACTCTTTCAGGGTTAATCTTACTTTTCTTGGCTAGAGAGTATTGTCCCCTGTGTCTCTTGCTCAGATATTCTGTGGCCCACTGACACAGAAAAAGATACACCATATATTTAGAGATTAGATGCAATAAACAAGCCCAATACTATAAATTAATAGCAAATTATGTTCAAATTGTTCTTTGTTCTGGGAGAACAAGTGATTGTTTGTTTTGGAAACAACCCATAATATAGTTTGGCATTACTTTAGCATTATACATAAAAGTCCAAATATAGAAGCCTGGAAGATAAAGGGTCAATTAAAGGTAGTCACATTCACCCATCTGTGACAAATCCCTAGACTATTTCCCAGTCCCTTGAAAAGAGGTTTCTAGGTCTGAACTTGCAAAAACAGGTGTTTGCAGGTGTGGATATGGTAGATTATATTGTTCAGACTGTAAATGTTCAACTTTTTAATTGCTAGGAGGAAACATTTTACTCCAATGACAATGATTATTATCAAAACATGGGTAAGAAAAGGAGGCTGCCCTACAGGGAACTAAATGCAATTTACAGGGGTGAGGGTGGGTGGGTTAGATTTACAAATTAAAAGATATAATTTCAATATAATTTATTTCCACATGAATATAAAATGAAGACTGCATATGCTGCTATTCAAATAGAACTACTGGACTAAAAATGCTTAGCGGGTACACTATTTATATTCTGCCTTTATTATATTTATGAATAACTCAAGGCAGCGAACACACACAATATCTTTCCTGTTTTCCCTACAACAACAACCCTGTAACGTGGATTGAGTAGAGAGAGAAAGAGTGACCCAGATGGCCTTAATGACTAAGGAGGCACTTGAACTCATTTCTCGCTTTATAGCCTGGTGCCTTAAGCACTAGTAAAATACTTGTAAAAATTGCACTACTAAATTACTGAGAAAATGAAACAGAATACTGAAACACTCCAGTTGTCTGCTAAGATACTGAGGATCCATAAGCTGTTCACAAAATAATTTGCTCTTCAGGTCTTTGATTATTTTTATTTACAATTTAATCTGTTATTGGTCACCTTTCAGCTCCATATTTATGTAAAATATGTAATATTTTTAACAAAAAAAGTTCATAAAAGGCATATTGGCAATTTTAGTTTCAATACCTTTCTCTAAAAATCATACATACATACATACATACATTACACACACACACACATTACACACACACACACACACACGCACACACACACACAAATACCTTGGCATACATATATACCAAATAACTGAAGTTATCATATGACATTTAAAGATTCCCCTCTCAAATAGACACAAATACACATGCATATAAATCACAAGAAAAGAAAATAAGTGAAAACAATACAAATGCAATACATTGCAATAAATATACATCAAATAACTAATGTTATTGATACCAATGTGAATGCCAACAGGATGTATTGTCTTCTGCTATTCTTCATTGGTTTGAAATCCCTCAGCCAGGTAATCCAAGGATTGCTTAGGGATAAAAGTTCAAAAGTGGAACAACTATCAACCACCTTCTCTACATAGATGATGACATCAAGCTGTATGCTAAGAGTGAATGACACATTAATTTGCTAATCCACCTGACACAGATTTACAGTGAGGACCACTGGGATGTCATTTGGAGTAGAGCAGTGTGGCCAGGTGGGTAGTAAAGAGAAGGTAGTTAAGACTGGTGGAGTAGAACTACATTGTGGGCCATATGCCAGACATACAGACTAGTTACAAATACCTTGGTATCCCACAGTCACATGGAAACAATGATAAGGAAGCAAGGAACATAGTCCTGCAAAGCCACCTCAATGGGAACAAGAAGTTCTACACCATCAACATGTATGTCCTATCAGTCATCAGATACCCTGCTGGTATAGTGAGTTGACCAAAGGACATAGAAAGTGCCAATGTGAAGAGCTGGAAGCTCCACACAAAGTATGGAGGCTTCCAACCTAGAAGATTATACATTAGTAAGAAAGAGGGCAGGCAGGGTCTGGTGAGTTTCAAAACCTCTGATCTCCTATTCTGTGCAGATGTTCCTGAAGCAATGCCAGCTGATTGGTTGTGCCAAGTATATCTTTCTCTCCCCTGCATCTATCCATCAATCCAACTTATGGCAAGATTTTCTGCCAAGTTGTAGTAGGAAATCCTCAAAATATGTATCCTGAATCAAAAGAATAGAATGGGGCATTCGATCCGGCACAAGAAGCCGGGAAAGCCGGTAACGCCCAAGGAGCTAAAACCTCATGCATGCCCATCACAGCAGATGCCACAAGGGCTGCACAAACACTCCCAGACAGTGTCCAGCAATCCAGACTTGAGGCACTGAGGCTATGCGCGTTTTGCATTGGGTCCGGCCCTCGATGGCAAGATAGAAACGGGGCTGGGTGGACAGGAAAGATAGTCTCTAGATGACTTACTTGGTGCCCTGGCTCTTTCCACCTCCAGGACAAGTGCCAAAGATGCAGAGTGGGGAAAGGAGGAAAGGAGATGTGAGAAAGCCCAGGAAAGCAAGCAGGGGAACACACTACCGTTTGCTCAAGGACGATCGCTTTGCACCGCTACGGAGACACAAGTCATGTTCGGCACTTTGTTCAGTGGCCAGTCTTCCCTCACCGTCCCCAAGGCTTGGTCTCTCTCTCCCCCCCCCCTCTCTCTCTCTCTCACACACACACACACACACACCTGACTGGGACAAAATGATCTGGTGAGCTCCAAAGCAGCAGGTGGCATGAGAAGGCAGAAAGCAGGCAGTGGGGGCGGCATGGGGGGCGGTGGAGGCCAGAGCATGCTGTGACCATGCCTTTTTTCCTTTCCCCGGAGAGAAGGAGAATGCAGGCAAGGGAGGCCCGAGCATGTTGCGGCTGTGCCTTTCTTTCCTCCCTCCCAGAAGGACGCGGGTGGCGGCGGTCCTGGGGGACAAAAGAAAGTGACCGTCCATAGTGGTGGTATTCCGGGAAGGCGGGACGGGCAGAAGTCCCGGGGCTGCTGCACATGGGCACCTCCACCACCCCTCTCAGCTTGAGAGATGCCCCTCAAGGCCCACCTGCCCACCCACTTGCTGGCCAAGCCAGGCTGGATGCGGCGCGTCCCCTGGGAGAAGGAAGAAAAGCAGTTCTGCTGCTCTGGCCTCCATTGCCCACATCCTCCTTGTCCCTGGAGGAAAGGAAGAAAGGTGCGGCCACAGCAAATTGTGCACAGGTGCAGCCCGGGACATCCACCCTCCCAGTCCCACCAGATGAGCCAGGGGATGGGTCAGCCAGTGCTCTCACCTGGAATGGGGCTGCGCCAGTAATGAAGCAAGCCAAGCGAGCCTGGGAACGATGGGGAAGAGGCCTTGGCAAGCTCAGGGGACGGTGGAGGAGGTGGAGGCAAGCTCCAAGGACGCTAGGGATGGCTAGCACGACTTGCAGGTTTACCTTTCAGCAGGAAGATCGGAGCTGCTCAGTTGGGGCACAGGGCCAGGCACCATGTGGGAACGCAGGTTAAGCCACGAGGACCCAGTGTGGAGTCACGGGGCAAATGAGCAAGCTGCGACTGGGTGAGTGGTTTGGGGGTGTGGCCAGCCAGAAGTCACTACTGGTTCAGCAACCCATGCCAAATTATCATTACCAGTTCTACTGATCTGGTGCGAACCGGCTGAATACCACTACTGCTGTTATACCTTTCTATGGTTATAAAAATAGATTAATTAAATCTTTTATAAAGATTATATATGTTGTAATTCCAACATGGTCATATCTAGTGGTAAGATCAATCCAGGTGAAAGGAATGAATGGAAAATGGAGGTTTTATATGGCCCTTCATATTGTGTTACTCAATAATGCATGTTTTTGATAACTGTTGCTGCCCAAGATACTGCCTTTCTAAGACTTTAGCTACAACCCCAATAGTTTTAACTATGGGCTGTGCTGGTTGGGCCAATGGGAATTACAGTGAAAGGAATTAGATCCTTACATGTTTACAATAGTTATTTTTAATATGTCTAGGATATTTTTTCAATCTATATAGCTTGGTGCATTTAGATAATTGGGACTTGCTTTCAAAAACAATATTTAGGATTTCTTCACCAAATGGAATTGGTTCCCCAGTTCCTGTTCCTCCTAATTCTTCTGACCTAATTTCAGATATTATAAACTATATTAAATTATTGTAAATAAGCCTCAATCTTTATTTACTTCCATCTACCAATGGTTGGTTCTCCAATGAAACACTATTGATTTCTAATCCAAGCTATATGCAGTGGATGCTCTGAAATATCAACACCAGAATCCAACTGTAATTAAACATTTCTAGAATGACAATGCTTAGTTCTACAGAAATTAAGGGGGCAGTTGTAACTTATTTGCATACTTAGGACTTTATAAAACACATACTGAGCACATAGCCATAAATGGACTCTCACGAGAAACAATCAAATGTATGTCTTCCTTGCAATGTCCTCATGCACAGAAGATGTCAGGCTAACAGACAGGATGCAACATTTTTTAATCTAAATTTGAAATTAAAATGTTTGAAATGAATCTATAATACCATGGAATCTTTTCGCATTAAAATGATACCAGTGAAAAAGTAACAACAGAATCAAAAAATAGCAAACAGATTTAAGACATTTTTACTGTAAAAAGAGACATGCGCAAATACCACCCACCCACCACCACCCGGGCTACAACTTTGAAACTTTCTCCCCATTGTTAGCATACAAAGTTGGTTCCAGTCAGGGAGGAACTTTACTCTTGTAAAAGTAGCAAAAATTATTGCAATTATGTAATCCTAGTTTATTCTGGGTAATGGAACAGAACCTTTTGCGCATTCACTCAGGATTCCTGGGCATGTGGACATCTTTCCACACAAATGCACAACAATTATTTGCTGCTGTATGGTTGCATAGTTCCCACAGCCATAGCATTTGATGTCTAACTTCCGCACTTTTTCAGTGAGCTCTTTGGTGATTAAGCTGGAAGAAAGAGAGGATTTCAAGAAACTGTAGTTATGACAGCTACAAATTCAGTAGGTCAAGAAAAGCAGGCAGATGGGCATTATGCACTGAGACTGTTTGCAGGGAATGGGCTAATGCCTGCATCTGCAAGCTTCATGATCAAAAAGTCTGCACAACTCAACTTGAAATTATGATATGCTGGGGAAGGAGAGGGATAGAGCTATATCATTGTCATTAGAATATTTCTCTGGGAAAGGGTAATATCACCTCTAAAGAAGTGGTTTACATGAGGAGTAAAAGCTAATATTGTCAGGGAGATTTAAAAATCCCTTCACCATGGTCCCAGTTCTAACTCTGTCTTCTTCCAGGAAGTGGAAACATACACACATATATACAAATAAGGCCAAACCATGGATTAATGTTTCTTTAAATGTGATCATCAAAGTTGCTAAAAACAGCAAAAAAGACCAATAAATTACAGAGGTTCAAGCTTTTAGGTAGCTGGGTCATAGGTTTGTTTTGCAAGGTGAGAAGAAAATCAGTCTTTCAAATGTTTCTGTTAATGGAAGGACTTAGAACCATCCTCTGTTCTTAATGTCCAAAAGAACCGATTCATAGCACTGTCTAACAGTATGTTCCAGTTGAATTAGTTGGCCACATCCAACTGATAACCGTGTTCTGGGGAGGAAATGAGAGAATGAAGGAATGAGAAAAAAAATGCAATCTGCTTTCTCCAGCAGCTTTTCAAAATGTACAAGATTCTTTTCTTCTAAGTGTTGAACTAGCTTCCATTGTGAGTATTGATTTAAAGTACTCTTTATAGCCTTTAAAGCTCTAAGCAGCATGTTACACCTGGAGGAATGTCACTTTCAACATGAAGCTATCCATATCTTTCAAGAAACCTTGTTCTATAGATCTTGCCAACTTCTGCAATGCGTTAAGATATAGGTAAAGGATTTACAGTGCAGTACTCAGGGGTTTGCACTCCCTCCTAAAAAAGGACCCACAGATAAACTGTCAGCCGCTTGCCAAGCAGCAGTCACCATTTTACTTTCAGCAAGCTTCCAAACTTGCTGGGGAGATAAATTTCAATCTAGGCTGTCTTCCTATTTTGTATAATGTATTGGTCTTTATCGGTGGCTATTTGTTACCACAATGTATGTGTTTGGGGAGAGGCTAACCTTTATGACGACTTTTTGTTAAGATTCTTTGGAATTTATTATCACACTAGCTGGATACCCATGCTTCGCTACGAAACTATGTGATTGGGCTTAATTTTGGGGGAGGAAAATAAGGGGGGGGGAAATCTGCCTCTGCTTACCAGCATCCATCGGTATTCATCTGGCTAGTGTCCTGCCAGTGTGTGAGAGAGTTGAGGGCTGTTTGAAAACTGAAACAGTATTTTCTGTGTGAGCAAGAATGAGACAGCAAGGAGCCTGGGCATGGCTTAGCTCAAGTGCTCTGTACGAAAGCTGGTTGTTGCTGTGAACTGAAACTGAAACTGAAACTTCTCTTCTTGTGTTTTGCATTTGGAACATATTTCTTTTCAGGTGGGGAGGGGGAATAGAACACCTTCGCATCACAGTCTGTTAATAAAAATATCTGAAATAGTAATGCTCTGATGGTTATTTCAAAAAATCCTTTCCTAGAAACCAAGAGGAACATAAGTGGCAAATTTCAAGTTTGTAGGCTTTACGGTTCTGGAGTTTTTGTGACAATGCGTGAGTGGTATTTCGCTTTTATGTATATAGATAAATGAATATTGAAACTTGGAATAAAGAAATCATGCTTAACACACTTTTATTAGAAACTGCATCAAGTAGATCCAGTATGCTTTGGAATTGGAATTTCTTGCTTAAAGCAATTTAAAGGTATTTGTAAAGAAAGCAATAGTGACAAGATATATTAGACAAACTATTATATGGGTCTCATAGTACCTTTCCTTTTTAAATTCCGTTGACATCCATTTAGCATTCCATCTCAAGCTTAGAAAGATGTAGAAATGTACATCTGGGCATATAAAAATGCAGATCTCACTAATGAGCCATTATTTCTACATACTCCACATCCCCAGTATTTTTAGAATTGTTAATGTAATGTTAGAATTAGTTATATAGAAAACTATTTTTTTTCTCTCAGAATGCATCAGTTTGGATCTCCTAGATTAGACTGCTATTTTTTCAGAAGTGATCCTTCTAGAACAGGAATTCATAGTATTTTAGATGTGATACTACTGTTCCTTAAATAAATGCATGCATACAACATGATTTAATAATATTAAAAAAGAACTATCAATCAATTTTAAAGGTCTTCTCATCTAGAAAATGAATTAAGCTTCTAGTTCTTTCATTTGATATATCCCCACTTCCCTTCAAGAGGTCACTTTTTCCATCAGCGGAAAACCAATCTTTTTATATCAAGTGAATGACCAACTTCACAAATACTACTTACCTTAACATATTCATTCATGTGATCAGTATAGAAGTCACTGTCATATAAGACATAGGGTATAGTCTCTGCTACATTCTAGTGATTATTAGAACAAAATTATAAACTCATGAGAGATTTAAAATTATCCCAGAATCTGGAAGTTACTGTTGAATAATTCTGTCCTGGACAAGACAGTTATTTTCCAGGAACTTCATCTCAGTAAGGAACAAGATTCAGCCCTAAAGATATGCCATTAAATTAAGCTAGATAATTATATACAGGTGAAACTCAAAAAATTAGAATATCGTGCAAAAGTTCATTTATTTCAGTAATGCAACTTAAAAGTTGAAACTAATATATGAGATAGATTCATTACATGCAAAGCAAGATAGTTCAAGCCGTGATTTGTCATAATTGTGATGATTATGGCTTACAGCTCATGAAAACCCCAAATCCACAATCTCAGAAAATTAGAATATTACATGCAATCAATAAAACAAGGATTGTACATAGAACAATATTGGACCTCTGAAAAGTATAAGCATGCATATGTACTCAGTACTTGGTTTGGGCCCCTTTTGCAGCAATTACTGCCTCTATGCGGCATGGCATAGAAGCTATCAGCCTGTGACACTGCTGAGTGTTACGGAAGACCAGAATGCTTCAATAGTGGCCTTCAGCTCTTCTGTTCGGTCTCATGTCTCTCATCTTTCCTTTGGCAATGCCTCATAGATTCTCTATGGGGTTCAGGTCAGGCAAGTTTGCTGGCCAATCAAGCACAGTAATCCCATGGTCATTGAACCAGGTTTTGGTGCTTTTGGCAGTGTGGGCAGGTGCCAAGTCCTGCTGGAAAATGAAGTCAGCATCCCCATAAAGCTCGTCTGCGGAAGGAAGCATGAAGTGCTCCAAAATCTCCTGGTAGATGGCTGCGTTGACCCTGGACTTAATGAAGCACAGTGGACCAACACCATCAGATGACATGGCTCCCGTAATTAACACAGACTGTGGAAACTTTACACTGGACTTTAAGCATCTTGCAGTGTGTGTCTCTCCATTCTTTCTCCAGACTCTGGGTCCTTGGTTTCCAAATGAGATGCAAAAGTTCCTCTCATCAGAAAAGAGGACTTTGGTCTGTTTTTCTTCAGCCCAGGTAAGACGCTTCTGACATTGTTTGTTGTTCAGGAGTGGCTTGACAAGAGGAATATGACATTTGAAGCTCATGTCCAGGATCCATCTGTGTGTGGTGGCTCTTGATGCACTGACTCCAGCCTCAGTCCACTCCTTGTGAAAGTTCCCAACACTTTTGAATGGCCTTTTCCTGACAATCCTCTCCAGGCTGCAGTCATCCCTGCTGCTTGTGCACCTTTTTCTTCCACACTTTTCCCTTTCACATAACTTTCTATTAATGTGCTTTGATACAGCACTTTGGGAACATCCAACTTCTTTTGCAATTACCTTTTGAGGCTTTCCCTCCTTATGGAAGGTGTCAATGATGGTTTTCTGCACAACGGTCAGGTCAGCAGTCTTTTCCATGATTGTGATTCCTTCTGAACCAGACTGAGAGACTATTTAAAGGCTTGGGAACCCTTTGCAGGAGTTATGGCTTAATTAGCTGATTAGAGTGGGACACTTTGAGCCTATAATATTCAACCTTTTCATAATATTCTAATTTTCTGAGATTGTGGATTTGGGATTTTCATGAGCTATAAGCCATAATCATCTCAATTATGACAAATCACGCTTGCTTTGCATGTAATGAGTCTAGTTTCACCTCTTAAGTTGCATTACTGAAATAAATGAACTTTTGCACGATATTTTAATTTTTCGAGTTTCACATGTATGTTATAGCCAAACATCTGATGAAAATATGGGAGGGGGAAATTCATTCAAGAATTATTTAAGCATACTTGATTTGTGCCCAGAATCCTGAAAGTTGATTTCAGACATGATTAAGAAAATAATTACATTTTTAGGATGAAATTAATTACCTTGGGTTACCCAAGATATGCATCAGCCTTAATTATATCAAGAAATCATGCCAGGTACTTTAGAAAACAGCATTAGCAAAAAATCAGCCTTCCCAAATATAACTCAAGGCACCACGAAACCCGAAAAAGTGACATATGCATTGTGTACACATATCCCTTTTACCTTTGGGGTTGCTAATATCGCAACAATACCTTTTAAGAGCCTTTTTTTTATTTAAAAAGGTACTGTCTGACAATTGCTAACATGGGGTGTCATGTAAAGGCTCATGGTCTGAAACATTCTTTGCTGTTTTGATTTCATTCTCTGCTTTTATGTTTTGGAAAGCTTCCCTATTTTGCTATGTTTTAATTATGGCTTGTTTTATTGCATTTGATCTGATGAAGTCTAATAAATAATTTAAAAAGAAACATATTCTCCCTAATTTCTTTACTTTCTTCAAGCTACACTGATACTCTTTTTCTCTTAGTGATTTAATATTAAAAAGTTATACAGGTAGTCCTCACCTTATGACTGGTTGCTTAGCTACTGTTCAAAGTTATGATCCATCAAAAAAATTACAACCCGGATTCATAGTTTGGATAGTCGGGCTCTCTCCTCTATCATGTGACCAAACTTTGGGCAACCAGCATCATAGCCACATTTATGGCCATTTGCATCACCCTGCAGTCACGTGACAGCATATTGCAACTCTTTTGCTAAAAACCAGCAGTTATTTCTGGGTTGTTGTTTTTTTGGCAAAACTAGACCCATAGTGAACCATTGGTTCATTTAACATCCAGGGTGTTTGCTTAATACGCATATTCACTTAACGCCCAAGATGTTTGCTTATTGCCTACAGCATTTGCTTAATGACTGTGAAGCAGGCTCCATTACAGTCATATGTTGAGGCTACTGGTAGTGCTCCAAAGCAGCTGCACAGAAAAAAAAATCTAATTGTTTGCTAATTTAGGCCAATACACCATCATGAATTTAAAAAGGAATCAGTTTATTTGATAAGCATAACAAACTGATTACTTCTCTGAAACAGCCTTGGGAAATTTATATTAACTTAACAAATAAATAAATAAATAAGCAATATGTACTCATAGGAGTATGTAATATTAATATTTAATTATAGCCTTTTAAATGTTTGTTAAAATATTACTTGACCTCTAAGTAATAGGATTAACAAAGACAGATTTTGCATTGACTGCTGCATGGCAAGTTCATGAAAAACATCGTTTGTGACTCTAAATTGGTGACAAGTTTAACTTTGCCTACTTTTCTCCTACAGCTTTGACTAGTAAATCATTGCTAAACCAGACATGCATTTTATTAGGTACTATGTCACACTTCCTCCCCATATATTTTTGCTTGGTTTGAATCAAAGCAACTCTTTTGTACCAAGGGACAGCATTTGGATGTAGCCTGCCATGTTATGAAGTCATTACTTTATTTTTGTTCTTTTTTTTAAAAAAAAAAAGCTTACCTGTATATTTCTTGGGAAATACAGTCATAAAGTTCTTCAGCAGTAAATTTTGTACTATTATTTACCTATGAATTAAAAAGACATCAACTCACTAATGTAGGAAAATGCATTAATTATCAAATACTAATGTTATATACTTGAAATTGTTGTAATAAAAGCAAATAAAAGCTTCAGATTTGTTAAAAAATCAATTCTTATGAATTGGCCCACAGATCTTATATTAACACTATAGAAAGCAACATCTGCAGCAAAAGAATTTGATGGAAGACAATTTTAGCGAACACTGGGAGTTTGAGAAAACTTCCCCTTTCTGATGATCTTAATGCATGTGCAGATGTTGTTTGCAGTGGGAAAAGAATGGCTTAATCAAGTGTGGGAGGATCTTATATAAGCTTTTGTCAGGTGTGAAGGATCAGGACCATATGTTAAGTTGTAGCACAGATTTATTCAAGCCTATACACAAGAATCTAGTCTAGTAACATTCAGAACTAAATTGGCGCTAGATAAGAGTCAACGGAATTCAAGAGGGGCATGACTTGGATCGTTTGTGACTCTAAATTGATGATGAGTTTAACTTTGCCTACTTTACTCCTACAGCTTTGACTGGTAAATCATTGCTAAACCAGACATGCATTTTATTAGGTACTATGTCATACTTCCTCCCCATATTTTTTTTGCTCGGTTTGAACCAAAGCAACTCTTTTGTACCAAGGGACATTATTTGGATGTAGCCTGCCACGTTATGAAGTCGTAAGAGGGAATTTAATCATTCAGAGCAAAATGGGTGCCCTAAGTTTTGGATATTTAAAGTACTTATTTTTATGCTTAACCCTGCCCAAATGGTTAATTATTTTGTCTTGTCAAATTTGAAGGTACTTGTACACCCAATGAGTCACCAACCCTGACCCATTTATGACTTGACAACCTAAATGGCACTTTCATTAGACTAAAATTCAACAGGCACAATACATCTCTTTGTATTATGAATTCAACAAATTCAGAATACATAAAAAGAGTGAAGTGCATTTAAATAATTGTGCAGGCCTTTTCAAAGTACATTATTTTTTTAAAAATGTGAATCAGACTGCTATGAAATCTTTATCCAAAATGTCTGTCTTTTCTATTATATACAATTTAACAACAGCAAACATACCAAATACTTGAAAGTTAAATAACTCACCTCATTATTAGTTAGGAATCTATACAAGGCCCAAACATCTTGAAAGCTACTATTTGGCACTAAGACTCTGGAAAAAAATAAACAAAACATAGTCACCGAACCGGTAGTAACACTGGTTAAATCTTACCCCTGCTCATAACCACCAAAGGGAAAGTAAGAAAAATAATATATACTAAGCCTAACTAAAATGGCTACACATATGTCAATTTCGGGCTTGACATCTTCCACAGTTGGTCAAGAGTCAGACTGAAGGACCTATGAAGTACTTTATACAGATAGTCCTTGTTGAATGACTATTCATTCAGTGTCTATTCAAAGTTATGAGAGCGCTGAATGAGCGGGGGGACAAGACCATTCCTCATAATGCCAGCTGTTGTAATCATGTAATCATGATTTGGGTGCTTGGCAACCAGCTTGCAATTATGAGAGCAGCAGCATTCTGCAGGCACATGATCACCATTGGCTACCTTCACTGCTGGCTTCTGACAAGCAAAGTTGATGGGAGCCAGATTCATTTAACCGCTGTGTTTCTAGCTTAAGAACAGCAGTGATTCACTTAAGAACTTTGGCAAGAAAAGTTGTAAAATGAGGCAAAACTCACTTAACAAGTAACTTGCTTAGCAACAGAAATTTTGGGCTCAGTTGTAGTGGTAGGTCTACCTATAAACAATTTTCAATATTTGGCCAGATTAGACGGTATGCATGTATGTAACATAAGTGATGCCTGGTAGGCTGGGCTTGCAGGAATTGGAAGCTGTTTGAATTTAAGTTGTGCGCGTGAGATAAGGAAGCTAAATGCCAAGTTAACTTGACAGGGTAATAGAAGGCAAGTGGGGAAAGATGAATTCAAACCACCTCCTTCTGCAAAAGACAGAGCAATGATCCCCCAAAATTGTTACAAATAAGAGAGGGATGTGGATCAGGATGCTAAAGTAAGGCATGTTGGATTGCAAAAATGGCTGGACTGGGAGATGAAGCCCAAGTAACCAGACTGGCATTATGGAAACTCCTCAGAAGTGTCTAAGAGTTGTAAACAATTGTGGAAAGTAATAGACAACTCCAAGATGTCTCCTCCCAAAATTAGGACAAGGGAAGGAGAAAGCTACACATATATTAGATCAGGGATTCCCAACCTTCAGGCCACTACCAGGCCATGGCTTATTCAGAACTGGGTCACGTGAACAATGCAGCTTGACTTGCTCAAGTAGTAGGCCTTGTGCAAATTGACAAGTTGACTCACGTGGCCCTCCCCCCACAGCCAGGCCACCAAGCTGTAAAGGTTGGGGACCACTGTACCAGATATCTGAGCCTGAACTACTAAGATAGCTGAGAAGGATATCATGAACATTCTAGAAGAGACTGAGACCTGTCTCACCTGACTGATTTCAGGCCACATGTGCAGCTTGGCAAGATTTACAGGAACATCACTCATTGTCTATGTCTGATCAGCTTTCTGATGGGGATAATTGTTATTTGGGTAACTATGTGACACTAACTGAAGTGAATGTATTCCTGTGATATTTAATAGCAGTGAGCTAAGTTTCTAAGTTTCCAAGGATTGCCCATCTTAAGAACACATTCCTGGAGCCTGTAATACAAATCCCACAATTATGTAGCACGTTTGCAGGGCAGTAGGTATGGAAAACAAGTAGAGTCAAGAGAACAGGTACAGGATACATCACATGCTACTCAATATACTTGTTGATATGCAAAACTTATGTTTAATGGCCCTGTCATATAACATCTTGCCTTATGAGATGTTAGTATCACTGTATCAAAAAGGAACAACCTAAGGTCATTGGCTATTTTCTCTAGAATCTAGAGAATCCTAAAAATCCTTACCATTGCTTCACATTCATTATGTGATCAGTTACTGCTCTCTTATGGCTATTCCTGTTTTTCAAATGGCTGAGAAAACACTAGATTATATCAGCACCACACACACTACTCAGTTCGTGGATACTCACTGCTGAATTCCAGCAAGAATTTCATTCACTGTGCTCATTAATTTCTGCAGATCCATAAAAGCTTCTTGAAATGAAGACATATTCGAAGTTGGGGGTATTGCACTAAGGTCCACTTTTTGGAAAATTTCAAAACTAAAAAAAGAGTAACGTTAAAAAATTAATTACAAATTAACATGGACTCATTTCCCCCCATTGCAATCCAATCCCACCAAATTTGCCAAATACTACCATATACAGACATGAGATTTGTTCCTAACTGAAGATCCTAACCCAACACTATTGTCTCTGTCTAAACCACAGCAGTCAAGATACTTTCCTCCAAAGTATTAAGTGATAAGCCCTAAAAGATACCATACCCTTTAAGATTCCAGTCAAAACAAAGTGTCTAGGGAAAGAGAAATATTTTTAATGGTGGCATTTTGCCAGGGCATGTTTCTGCTATAGTAGAGATAAGTGGGGGAAAGCCCCCAATGGCTGATTAAAAAGGGGGAAAAATCATTCTTGGAATGACCAGTTCATTATGTGTGAATTCACTTGCAAAATGATAGAAAGCAAACCATTCTTTCCAATAATTAAATAGCAATTTTGTGGCAGAGAGCCTTGTAGGCAGCGAGTTGGAGCATAAACACAGAATGACAGAAATACAAACACAGTGAGGTGGACAGTAACTGAAAGTAAATACTGAACTATGTAAAGGACCTTTTCTTCCCGGTCCCCCTGTGTAGTTAGGGACAGGTTTTTTTTTAAAAAAGAAACAATTTAGAGTTTCAGTAGTCCATATCCAAAATTCAAAGAAAAACTCAAAATATCTAACCAAGGAAGTAATTCAACTATGACATATAAGCAACTTCTTAGTTGATAAGTCACCAGCCCCTTTCTAAGAAGGCTTTCCAGCATGACTAATCAGCTCCCTTCTCTGTCTAGGTAATGAGCTGAATCCTAGTAAATTCAGAAGAATGAGGTAGTTGGTATACAGGGCCCTAATAAGGGTAATCTAGCAACTGCTTTTCCCGTAAGGTTATTTTTATCATTCTCTGTCATATCCTTCAACCATCTTCTCCAATATCCCCCCTCCCACAACTTGCCCTTTTTTCAGAACAGCCTTTATGCTTAGTAGGCCCTGAGTCTGCAAACACTCATATGCTGGTGCAGAGACTTACTCACAAGGAAGCAGCTACTTTCAAGTTGGTTTCTAAAACTAGTTAATATTACATGAATCAATATGTAGCCTATTGGTGGTAGCAACACTATATGCAGAAATATTATTGATACAGTGCCATTCCTGTACCTGGCACTTTACTAAATTACACAAGAAAATATTAAGCAGGTCCCACCCACAAAAAAATTACAGTTCATGCTCAGCAGTGGAGCATGTTTGCAAAAGACATGACACACATGAACTTTTTTAATTCTTGGGGTTGAATATTGTTTTAGCAAACATAGTTTTAGAAAATAGTACCTGAACACATTGATTCTGTTCCATACACTTTCAAGGACAGACCAGATTTCCATATGCCTATTTTCTTGTGCTGAAGGCTCTCTTAATGGAGACTTATCTTCTGTCTGAGTGTGTTCTGACAAAATCACATCTTCCATTTTTTCACATGTATCATTTCCCAAATTAGATTTCAGGATATCTTTAGAATTTTCTCCTTTACATGACTCCATCTTAGGAAAACAAAATAAAGAAGCAGTAAGAGTACTGCCCATAGTAAATGTGCAGCTGTCATTTACAAATATTTGAGGAATGCCACATAATAATCATGTTAATAACAAAACTCAAGGTAAGTGTTGTTTCTCTCTGCCTTCACAAACAAAAGATGTAATTCAGTTTCTTCACTGGTTATTTGAAGTGTTTATATATAATTTTATAAATTATACATCGATAGTTCACAATGCAATCTACAATCTAAAAATAATAAAATTTAACAGAGAAAAAATAGTTATAGCAAATATTTTTAAATCCTAAAGATAAAATAATTTTATAAACTTACAATAGTGATTTTCTAAGACTGAATATTTTTCTAGCCAGGCCCTGGCTCTCTATGCAAGCATTTCCACCTGCTTTATTTCCAGGGACATAAATAGAGCCCTCCCGGAGATATTTGAAAATATTTCCTGAAAATATTTCTAAATAAGGAACTCTTTTACCATACCTATCTTGATAGTGACTTGGAGGAAAGGTAATTTAGGTGCGTGCTGAAGCAACTATGTTTGAGAGGGAGCCACTTGTCTTATTGCAGTAGTAGATCCAAACCTAGAAAAATATTTTCCTCTCTCTCTTCTTAGACAATACAAGATATCCCTTTCTTCCTCTGCTCAACTCTTAAATTTAGAGGGAGTCTCTTCTCTTGCCCCCATTCAGAATATACTTGTAGATACAAGATACTTTCCATCAGAACAACTCTAAATTTGGCTGCTTTTCTCCTTTTTCTTACTTTTCTACAACCAGGACAAAGAAAAAGACAAGAAGAGAAAGAAGGCACTAGAGAATGACTGCAAGAGAAGCCAGTAGGCTATTTAGCTGAAGAAAGGGGAAAAAAAAGATTGATGGGGGAGGGAGGTTGTGCTGCAATAAGTACCGTATTTTTCAATGTATAAGACACACTTCCCCCGCCGCCCAGAAATGGCCGGAAATGTCTGTGCATCCTATACAGCAAATGTTGCCAAAACCCCACCTACCCGCCAGCCCCCACCCTTCGGCTTCTGCCTCCAGCAATTTGCCTCCTTGCAGCAAACAGCAAACAGCCTGGTCAGCTTCAGCACAGCCTGATTAGCACAAGCAGCTGATTGTCAGTTGGATCTGCCTCCTGATGATCAGCTGTTTCAGGCTGCAGGGATCACCATCACCTATTGCCACCTCTGCGTGCTACATTTTCAGCCTCTGCATCCTGTTTTCTGCCTCCGTGCACCCCATTTTCAGCCTCTGCACGCCCCATTTTCGGTCCATTCCAATCCCCACCATCTGGAACGGGCTGAAAGTGGAGTGTGTGGAGGATGAAAATGGGACATGCGGAGGCAGAAAACCGGATGTGGAAGCAAAAAATGGGGCTTGCGGATGCAGCAATAGGCGATGGCGATCCCTGCAGCCTGAAACAGCTGATTGTTGGCTGCTTGTGCTAAATCAGGCTGTGCTGAAGTTGACCAGACTGTTTGCTGTTTGCTGCAAGGAGGCAAATTGCTGAGAGGCAGAGGATGATTTTTTTTTTCTTGTTTTCCTCCCCAAAAGCTAGGTGAGTCTTATTCTTTGGAACATCTTATATTCTGAAAAATACGGTAATACCTGACTTAGGAATGGAAGCAGAGGGAAAGAGGTATAGAAGCATCTGTGTCTCTTCCCTCCCTCCTTCATGCCTTCTTCAACTCTGTCTTCTGTTGGGAACCCACGAGGCATGAAGCAACAGGAGTCAGAACTTCTATTGATTTCTATGCCTGGAGTTTTCAAGATGGCCTCCTCTCATATCTTCACAGTTTGTACATCACTGCTGCTAGAGAAGCCAATCCTTTTTATTCAGCAGTGAAGTTTGTTTCTTGTTTTATCCACTGAAAATGCAATACTAATTTCCATTTAAAAGGAAACAATTCAGTCACAACTAACCTTTTTTAATGATAATAAATGTGAATGCCATCAATCTTGTAACCAGATACATGCACTTCAAAAGGAACTATGCTTGTCAAAACTTAGCCTGGCTTACCTCTTCAACAGTCTTGAGTAATTTATTCATTTGAGCTAAAGCCCGTGAAAGAAAACCATCATAGGTGGATCTTGAACTGAACATTTCCAATAACATTTTGGACTCCCAGAGGACATTCCTCAGTGTTGAATATCCTATTATTTTATCTGAGACAGGAAGTAGAAAAAAAATGCTGAGATCCAAAATCCTGGCTGATTTATTATTAAATCCCTATGAAAAACACACACTAAAATGATATGGTTATTCAATATATTCATATTGGCCCTCTTACCACCTGCAGGGGACGAAACGATGAAAACTGAAGGAATCAAGATGGAAATGATAGTCTCAATAAAGATAAGTAGAAATTTTCTGGATCAGGAGTCATTGCACTCAGTCATTCAAGCCCTGGTCATCACACACTTGGACTACTGCAATGTACTGTACAGTGGGCTATTCTTGAAGAGCATTTGTAAGCATCAACTAGTGCAGAGTGTGGTAGAGCGGGGAGCCTTGCCCCCCACCCCCAATGGCTCATGTTACTGCACTGGCTGCCAGTCTGCTTCTGGGTCCAATTCAAGCCTTGCATGCCATGGATCCAGGTTACCTGAAGAATTGTTTCACCTGTATGGGACAGGCCTGTCCCACCCATACAAGTACAGAAGGCATATCTGTCAATGAATTCCTGCTGACAGTGTCTAGGAGAAGAGCCTTTTCTGCTGTCAACATGGCCTTTTGGTATCTCTTGAGGTGAGATTGGTTCCGACCTTCCGCAAGAGCCTGAAGACGTGGCTCTGCCAGTTGACCAGGGCCTCAAGGGGGACTACCATGCTGGAGGTGGTTGATGAACTAACAGTAAATCCCACCTCCCTGTGCATTTGCTCCTTCCTTGTAATGTCTTCATTATAATTTTGTATTATTTTAATCATAGTTTTGTATTCTTGTTGTTATGGTTTTGCCATTTTTGATGTTATAGGTCAGTGGTTCTCAATCTTTGTGGCTTGGCGGCCCAGATGGGGGGAGGAGAGAGAAATTTGGCCACGCAAGTGGCTAGCTGGTACATGCACATGCAGCTCAACTTGCACTTGTGCAAGTTGAGCTGTGCATGCATGTGCGTGTGCGTCAGCTCACTGCTCCTGCAAGGAGAGCTGCGTGCCCACGCTTGCCTGTCCCCTGCCCGGTTCCAAATACTCCACAGCCCAGTAGTGAGCCAAGGCCCAGGGATTGGGGACCCAGAATTGCCTTGTGAAAAGATGGACTCCAATTAAATTTAAGAAATAAATAAAAATAGGTGGCACCCTTCAGGCTAACAATATCAAGCATACTGAAATCAAGAAAAAGTATGTTAGTATGAATTATCAGACAGATGAAGAAAAGTTCAAACACTCTGATGGAAATACCACCAATTAACACCTGGACAGTTCCAGTTATTAGATATACAACTGGAATAATAGATTGGACTCAAGCTGAAGGAGAAGCTCTAGATAGGAAGACCAGAAAAATAATGTCGATGAATCATGCCCTTCTTTCAGGCAGCAAACTTGACAGACCCTTCTTACCAAGAAACATAGATGGGTGTGGAATTATTTATTTATTTATTTATGGGTGTGGAATGTTGCAAGCACACCAGATAGTTGAAGAAGAAAAAAGAGCATTGGAAAAAATATCTGAAGGGCAGCAGAGAATATTTATTGAAGCTATTATACCATGAAGGTTTGCTGAGTAGAGAAGAGTCCCAACTGGCCTAAAAAAGACCAAATGAAGAATAGAAAAGATATACGAAAGCAAAGTATTACATGGCCAGTATATTAAATGTCAAGACCACAAAATAAACAAAGTAATAGAAAGTAATGAAGCTAAAGTACTCTGGAACATTAGTTTTCAAATAGAGAAGCATAATGTCACATAACACCTCAGACTGAATAACTGTCAATAATATAGACAAAACAGTCTGGATTGTGGTCATTGCAATACCTGGAGACAAAAAAGAGAAGACAAATACCTTGGGGAAAATGATAAAACACAAAGATCTGAAAATACAAGTAGAACAACCATGGCAAAAGGAAGCAAAGGCAGCACCAATAGTGATAGGCACCTTAGATGCAATCCCAAAACATATGGAACACTACTTGAATACCATCATCAGTGAAGTATAAAAGGCAACTTTACTTGGAACAGCTTATATCCTGTAGCAGTATCTTTGATATTGTTAAATTATAACATCCACCAAGTTCTTGGGAGGGATTCAATAGGCACACAAAAATACAAAATCCAGACTAGACATCTGGCAGACTGTGCAACCAACCATAATCAATAATAATAAAAATAAAACAAGCTTTATATTTTTAGTACTGACAACTGTGCTCTTTTGATCTAAGTAATTTTGAAAATTAATATAAACACTCCTACCTTTACAAAGATGTGCATAGAGATATTCAATACTTGAAATAAGGCTTCTTGATATAAATTGTCCAAAAACTGCCATCCAGTGTTTTTTGTAACACTCCAACACATTTGCTAATGTCCAAGGTGGTTTGTGATATACTACCTAAGAAAGAAAAATAATTTACTAGTCAGGTTTCAGTATCTTTTCTAGAAACATGTCACTTACATCAGCTAGGATACTAGTAATTATATCAAATCCTCCCTATTCTGACAAACAGATAGACATATAAAATAAATGATAGAATCTGATTTTGGAATAGGGTTAATAATACCACCTAATATAGTCTCTTCTGAGAGACTATTTTCTTCTTTAAAGACAAATGATGTCAGAGGGACTTAATTTCATCCTGAAAGTATTTTACAAAAGCTTGTAACCCCTCATTATATCACTATTGGGAAGCTATGAAGGGTCCACAACATGACAAGGATTTACAAAACATGTATTATTATCAAAGACAAGATACAAGTATGTTAAGATAAGATTATTTGTATGCTATCACACCATGTAATAATACAGGGGTCTTCAAACGTGACAGCTTCAACTCCCAGAATTCTTCCTTCAGTCATGTTATCTCAGGAATTCTGGGAGTTGAAGTCCACAAGTCTTAAACTTGCCTAGTTTGAAGATCCTTGATGTAATACAAAAGGGAAAAATGTGGAAGGATAAAATTCATCTTCCTGAGATTTTCAGATTTCATTTAAGTTATGAAGGTGTCATTTACAAAAAATACTGACCTAAATCAGCTGTCACAGATGACTAAAAGAAGCTGGCAGAATTTTGCCAGTCATGGAGAATCAGGAAATCTGAAGAGCATTAAACTACAAGCAAATCCAGCATTTAGAATGCAAATATGTAATAGATGTTAAGCGATTTGCTTATCTTGCTTACATAAGACAAGGGATTAAGGGTTTTTTTGGCACCCTAATTTGATAAGTTTCAGATTATCTAAAAACCAAAATTCACTAAGCATGAAGACAGATTTTTGATGGTTTCAAAAGGTGTTACTTCTGCACAGCTGTTGGACCTTAGCATTTTAATTATTTTTAAACACATTTTTTTAAAGGCATATGACCTTTGCAGCATCCCCATGGTCATGTGATCAAAAGCCGGGCATTTGGTAACTGGCATGTATTTATGACAGTTATACTGTCCCAGAATCATGTGAAACTCCAGACTTCCAGTGACACACTCTAGCATTATTTCTTGGTTTTCTGTTTTTCCTAATTCTTTGCAACAACCACGGTCACTACCAAGCACATTTGCTCCCCTTGACAGAGTTTCTGGTATTGTCTTGTTCTGGCTTTTTCTGTCCCCCAAACCTTCCCCCTCTCTACCCTACACCCAGGAGGCGAGATTCAAAAAAAATAATAACATCTGATAGGATGCTCTTTAATGTATGTAAATCTGGAAATTATGCACATGCATCCAACTTGAATCAAAGATGGATGACAGGGCTTGGGGCATGTCTTGGTGTCCTATGAAAAGTGGAATTTATTTAGAAAAACAGAAGGAACAGGTCAGAAAGGAACTATCAGCCTGACCATGCTCCTTATTCCACTCCAGACTCACACCTAATTTAGGGAATTGCATACTGGACAGAAACAAGCAATGACAGCTATAACAAGAATATGGTTAAAGTTTCTTCTACTGGTGGACAGAGCTGGCATAAATGAATCAGGCTGTGGATGATAATTATTGTCATTCTGCACCCACTTTGAGAAGTGGATTCTGAATTAACAACCCCAAGCAGTATAGCAACAATAGTTTTTATGTGCAGAAAATTCTGCTGCAAAATGGAAGCTTTAATCTAAAGGTACTTTCAGACGGAGCTCTTAAAGTGACTTGAAGATACTGTACCAGAGCCTTATGTGCCAAATATGTCAACAAGATGCCTTTTAAAGTTTGATACTAAAAGATCTACTAGAGGGAAACGGTGTTTAAATATAAAATATACAATCTAAAAATATTAAACAATTTGCTGTGTGCCATAAAGTGAAAATAATGTTGTGAAATTGTCAACACAAAAAGGGGGGTGCAGAAGGAACCTATCAATCTTGTGGCTAGCAGAAACAGACCTATCAAATGATCCTTGCCATTTCTTCTTATAGAAGGAACAGGATGCCTACCTGACCCAAAATGCAACAAGAATTCCTAATAATATATAATAGGCTGTAACTAAAATTGGAGTCAGAAGGTATATAAGTACGTAAATATATGTAAAAAGCACTGATGCATTACACATGGCTTCCCTAATTGGAAGACCTGTATTTCTTTTGAATATTGGAAAATATTCACCTCAAGCCATAGATCTCCAAAAGCAATCTTCAATTCTGTTTCTAAAATAGAAGATAAAACATCTCCCAAGCTTTTTTCCATATCAAAAATAATTTCTGAAAGACGATTAGTAGAACTCTTCTCAGTCTTCTTGGGGTATTTATCTGTTTGTGAGCAAAACCAAGTTTAATGTCTCCATTAAATTACAGTTCCAATGCATTAGGTATAAACATAATGAGGCCATAAGCATCATTTGTACATGATCCTGAGAAAATATTCATGTGGTGAAAGGAGGTGCCGGCTGGTGCTCTGTTCAAATTGTTTAGTATGCCAAGGCAACTTTTTGCTTTGAAAATTGAAATGTTTCCCAGTCCTGTTGGATGATACCCTGGTAATCATACTAGCCAAGCTCTTCCAGATTGAAATTAGAATCAGAATTAGAATTCTTTATTGGCCAAGTGTGATTAGACACACAAGGAATTTGTCTCCGGTGCATAAGCTCTCAGTGAACATACAACAATAGTGATAGATCATAATAGAAAACTACTATATTCAAATGATTTCCGATACTCTCCCTGTTTGCATATCAAAACTCTTCAGTAGTTCCTCAACTTAACTGAGGAACTCTACTGACACCAAAATATAAATTATTTCTCCAACCAATTCATTGCAACTAGTCTGATAAAACTTTTCAATAGTTTTTTTTCCCTTATACTTAACAAATACCATTTCTTTAGTGCCTAATAGTCATTTAAAACAGTGGTCCCCAACCTTTCCAGCTTTGCAGACTGGCAGCAGAGATGGGGGGGCAGGTGTTGAAGGGATGGTTCCGCCATGCACCCGCCATTTCCACAGCTTGATTCTGAATGGGCTGCAGCCCAGGGGGTTGGGGACGCCCGATTTAGAGGCACAAAAACATTAAACCAATTAAGTTAAGAATTTTCATCCATCTGGAGGTAGATTTTCATGTGGTATATTCTTTAGGGTAATGTGGGCATTTCATCAGTGATAATTATTTGGAAATAGTTATTTTATGACTTTTTAAAGCCTATTTTTCAGTTTTAGATTGCAAAATCTTACATTTACAGTACCTGAAAATAAACCACAAAAAATTCAGAGGCACTTACTCAATAAATGTCTTGTAAGGCAATAGTGTCATTGCAAATATATAAAGAAAAACCAACCTTTTCCCCACTTGTTATTGGAAGTATCTTCACTAATAATTGTGCCCTTTGGAGTCATTTTCTGGAAGGCAGCAACCAAATCTGCTTTACTATATGCCTTTATTTCACTCACTAGGGCTTTGTTGCACAAATTTTTATCATCCCTATTAAAGAAATACAAACAAACACAACTAGTTTTGCTTTCCTGGGAAAAGGAAGACAATTGAATGTATCCATAATGCTGAGCTATGATGTAATGGGTATGATTTTGGCTTAGATGATGGGTGAACATTAAATACATATATTCAATGAACTATGACTAAAAATATCTCATCTCTGTGTTACATAAGCTGCTGAATCTCTCAATACCTGGATGAAGCCATTTTAAAATAAACTTCCCAGAAGCAATTGTAGGAGTTGAACTTGCAAAATTCTGTTTTCAAAGAGTTAGAATTCTGGAGACTCTTAATTGGAAAAAAAAAAACACCTCCCCCTTTACTTAGAATCCTCCAAATTCCTACATAAGCATATACGTATCTGTATGTTCGATTGTTTGAAACGGCAATATAGTATTTGCTCTTCGGTGAAATGAAAGACAACAGTTCTAAAAACAGATATGATTTCTAACAACAATCTGCTAACAGCAGCAACAGCAACAATCACATGACTCTGGGATACTGTAAATGTCATAAATACATGCTGATCTCCAAGCAGCCGAATTTTGATCATGAGATCATGAAGATGCTACCATGATTATAATAAGTGTGAGGACCAATCATAAGTCACTTTTTTTCAGTGCCATTATAACTTTGAATGGTTGCTAAATGAATGGCTATCAATTGAGGACTATCTCCCAGCGTGTTTTTAAAAAGAAATACTGCTGAGAAAAATCAGTAACTGCATTACTTTTTTTGAAAAATGTATTTAAAATTATTGTGCACTTATTGCCCTGTCAATGAAATTTGGATCCTCCATTGGAAAGCTACACCGAAAACGTACGTCAGCAAGATTACTTCAGCTTGAGGATAGAGATTCTGATACTGAAGGCAGCATTGTAACACACGATCATCATTGTTGTCAGTATTGAAACTTTCTGAAAATTTAGAAACAAGAGATTATAGTATCATGTTCTAAAAGAAATGGCTGATGAACAAACAGCAGTAGCACATCAAGAGGCAAGAAAAATATTTTATATTTGTGGCATTCTTCATTTACAATTATCCTATGCAGTGCAATAGTGAAGCGCCTATACTCAGAAGGAAACATTACTCAAAAGAGAACACAAACTTGACGAGAATGGAGGTTACCTTCTCAATTAATTCCACCAATTATAGCTGGTGATTATTATTGTTATATTGTATTTGAAATAGACCGCAGCTCATTTTAACAAATAAGCCATGATTCACAATAACAGACAAAATTAAAACCATTACACAAAACCCAGGCGGCGTAACACTCCTACTGCAAATTCACATTCACTCAATTCTATCCTGGTTCAATGTCTGGGGTAAAGTCAGATCTACAAGGCCTTCTGGAAGGCTAACAAGATTGCGGCCTTCCAAATTTCAGAGGATAAGCCTTTTGTCATATGTTGATTATTTCAAAGACACATTGTTCTAAAGCAGGGGGTGTCAAACTTGCGGCCCACAGGCGGGATGCATCATGTGCTGGTTAAGCCCACTCATGGCTTAGCGAAGAGGGAAAAAGTCACGATACGTCACATGATGACATGAGTTTGACACCCATGCTGTAAAGCACCCAGAAGCTTCAAATGGTGCAAAAATGCAGCAACAACTCCATTGCATGGTATCATGAGCCTGTTATGCCTATACAGAAAGATGGTACCGCTTCTTACCAGGCTTAATTTAAGGTATTGTTTAAAGCATTAAACAACTTAGGGCCAAGCTATTGGAAAGACTGATATTACAGATGTAGAAAGCTGTACTACTTTCAGCCTTCTCTTGATGTGACAGCGTGTATTTACTGTAGAACTAGTCCACAGTTTCTATGTCTCTTTTTAAAAAGCATTAAGATACATCTCTTCCACATGGTTTATTTTTTGAATAACAATATTCTTACTGTCTTATGTATTTTACCTATCTTTTAAATTATCTCTTTTTAAAATAAATTGCTTCTCCTGAACCAATTTATACTTATGATTTATTTTATTTAGCATTTTAGCAGGGAGCACTTAATAATGAGCAGTAAACTCCAAGACACCTGCTATTTGTGTTTCACTGTTTCTTAGGTCTTTGGGACCCACAAACATTCTTAGCAGGAAATTATAGTAGGTCCAGAAAACTAATCCTTTATTTTGAGTCTTTCTTTGCACTTGCTGGTCGATGGGGAAAATTAATCATTTTGTAGATACTTCCATACATCACAACTGAGAAGGCGGATGGGCAAGGGATGGCCTTGGGAATTGCATCACTGACTTAGCAAGCAGACAACACCATTATTTTAGATAAAAGAAATAAAAAGGCATAAAAAATTCATCATCAATATTTTCATTTCTGATAGAATAATTTCTATTGGATGGGGTTTATTACCAAGTAGGTACACTTACTGAAGGTTTAGAGATCTAAGAATAAAATTGTGACTATTTCCACAATGACTTACGTGTTTTTTGAGAAGCAAGCTGCATGGATTGACCCCACAACCTTGGATCTTGATTTTTCAGGCAAGTATAGATGAAGTGAACTGCAGGGATTGCTTTTTGGCTAACGTTTGCCAATATCTTCCCTCGCTTTAAGTTGTCCAGTTCTTGTAGAACTACCCAGGGAATTAATAGCAAAAATCTGCCTATGCCTAATTAGGAGAAAAATAGCACTTTTGTTAAATATTATCAAAGTTCTTAAAAAATGCATTTATGAAATATTCCTAAACAAAATACTCCTTTAATCCTTTTTATTCTCTAATTTACAAATCCCTGTCTTGTTATCACAATTATAATTTCTAGAGAGAAAAAAAAACTGTTTAGTTCAAAACTATTTTATCTGTGTGTATTTGGATTTTTGTTTGATAATTGCCAGATGCTTTATGTTTTTTTGAAAGTCTGGGAACAAAATGAAAACAAACTTAACAGGTAATCACTACACTTAAAACAATCTTCCTCAGATACAAAACCAAATAGATGAAAAAATTATGAATATGAATATATAATTTAGAATAATTTGGTCAGGCATCACATCATTCTCAATTTTGTCTACTGCTAAATTTCCTTTATTTTTCAAAATTCAGACTATTATAAATAAGATTTTGCTAAATTAGATCTTTAACTAGTTCAGTAATCTATTCTCTTTAATTTTTCCAAAAATATAAAAAAGAAAAAGCAATTTTCATGTTAAATAAATGCATTTACAACTGGCTATTTTCAATTTAGAAAGGATAGTGTTATGACCAGAAACTACGTGTTTTCCACAACTCAGCGTCTTTCAGGTCTACAATTCATTTAGTGACTGTTCAAAGTTACAATGGCATTTTAAAAAGTGATTTATGACCATTTTTCAGAGTTACGACCTTCCCCCTGATCATGTGATCAACATTCAGATGCTTGGCAACTGGTTCATATTTATGACCATTGCAATGTCCCAGGGTTATATGATCACTTTTTGAGACCTTCAGACAAGAAATGTCAACGGGGTAGCCAGATTCACTTGATAATTGGGTTAGTAAATTATCAACTGCAGTGATTCACTTAACAACTGTGGCAAGAAAGGTTGTAAAATGAGGCAAAACTAACTTAAGATATGTCTCACTTAGCAACAGAAATTTTGGGTTCAATTGTGGTTGTAGGTCGAGGACTACCTGTATTGGCATATAATTCCCATTGCTAAGCTGACATGATAATGGTTATGAGAAGATGAAAGTTGAAATAAAATACTTCTTGACTGCAAGATTGCAGAGCGTTTATAGAATGAACTTTGCAATATTATTTGTGCAAGTTAAATATTTCATGCTTTACTTTGCTGGCACACAACAGGCAGTGCATGGATCTGCAAATTATCAGAGAAAATTCTGAGCAGCACTTGAAGAGGGCTGATCTTAACAACCTTTATGAATCTTGTTTTAAACAACTGTTTACAATCGTTTGTTGAATTATAATATACAATAGACATTCTCCAAGTATATGAGACACTTAGTAAGCACACTATTATGAAAGAAAGTAAGTCAATAAAAATGCTAGCTCTTTTTGTTTGAAATCAAACTGATCCACCATCTTTTAACTTTGTGCGATGTCTGCTACATCAGTACATTTTGTCTCGAGTGGTCAATAAGCAAAATAATAAAATTAACACCTGCTTACATTGTATCATGTTATATTGTTTTATTAAAGGTAATTTAAAAGAAAAAAGTTTCAAGTTGTTTGTGAAAAGCAGCTATCTACTATAAGATTTGGGGCTGAACTTTAGTTTCAGATTGAAACAAGATGTGGCAGGTAATAGAGAAGCAACATCTTTTAAGTAATATGCACTTGATCAAGGTTTGTTACAGAGATAAATCCACACATACCTGGAATATTTGCATCCTTCAAATATTTGATGAATGTCAAATGGCTGATCATTATATTAGTATCAATCACAATCAAAGTATTCAACCCAGAGAAAATATCTATTAGAAAAGAAGAAAAATATAATTCAATAATTGGCTTTATCTTTCTTTTATTTTCTTCTTCCTATCTCCCCCGTCAATGGAGAGGCAACAGAAAACACCTGACACAGATAAGCTTACTAGATGATATATGTGATTCCTCATCTGCAAGATCTATTTCCATGCAAGTTAGCTCTCCACAAGCCTGCACAACAGGCAGATCCATTTTCTTCTCAATACGAGCTGCATGCAAGTCTTCTACAATCTGCATCTATAAAAATAATTGTAAAATCATAAATTGATATCTTAAGCAGGAGCTAAGGAAGCATTTCCAGTTCTTGCTGCTTTTCCTTCTCTATTACTGTCTATCCATTGCTCCAAGTGTGTGGGTGGGAAAGAGAGAAGGAAGGTAGATATTACTCCTTGTCTTACTCTTTCTACCTAATGACAATGAATAAAAATTGTTCTTGGTGAAAAGATTTCTCAAAAAAGTCTAACAAGTCTGCATGTAATGTGTAACCCGTCTATATATCTTGATATATCGAGATAAGATACTTTCTTTTCTTTAATTTTCATTTCTCTCTCTCAAGAATTCTAGTTTGCACACATTTAAGAAGGGAATTAGCCAATACAAATCCTGATTCTATTTGACTGGAATCAAACTATTACAATTTCTCTTAACTTTGTATTATTTATATTGTTTAAATAAACATGGTGGCAAGAACTCATACAGATTTCACTATCAAGTTCAAAATGTTATGCTGGGACTTTTCATCCATTTTCTATCTAGTTTTGGAATTGAGTTCAGAACAAGTATGTTCATTCTTCATTACTTTTAGATACCTTGACCAATGCATATGTTCAGTCCTCATTAGGTTTCAGCACTTTTGGATTCCTCCCAGTTATCCATTCCCTATTCCCACCCCAAGGTACATAGGTTTCTATGAACCTCTGAAATGATCTCATGAGAGGTACAGAATTTCCATGGACTTCTTCCACAGTGGAAATTTTAATTTGTTTCTGCTACTATTGTTTTTGTTGTTTACATGCTTTATATTTTATATACTGTTTCCATTTTAAAACTTTGTGATTGTAAAGTAGCTGCAAGCACCCAAAGGTTAAATACTAAAAATCCAGTCTTTAAGTATATGTTATTAGCATATATTAGGATGGATGAGAACAAACTGAATCAATATGAGAAACAACAACAATACAAACTTTGGCTAGTATGAACTAAAAACTGCATTTAGGGAATGATGATAAAATAATCTCTAACCTCTTGGTCCACATCTGTATTTTCGATATTTTCAAAGGAAGAACATGAGGGTTTGGAGCTCTGTAAGAAAGATACATAGGTATTTAGCTGTTGATTTTACAGTTAGAATTTTATTTGGAATTGGAAACAATTTTGAAAAGAATAAAAATGATGCCAGAGGAACTAGGTAAACTTTATTACACTTTTAGAAAATGTTTTTGGTTTTTCATATTATATTGATTGAAGTATTATTAATTTTTGTTCATATTTAACCCACACTAGTCTGCTTGCATTTCTCCTTCAAAATTTGTCTTTATCTAGTCCTAGGCTTAAACATAATCTGCTTTCCAATATTTACTACAGTGTACATTCTCTGCTCAATGAGTCTTTGTTATATTTGGTGAATCTGAATTTCAGTGGTTTAGAAGTTAGGATCTTCCTCATTGTTTATGAAATGAAAGAATACACCACTTTCATTGATACATTGTCTAAGCAAAAATTCTTTAACTATTTAAAGGAGCAGTTCCCTATATTGCTACATTACCAGCCCAGGGAAATTATTTAGAAATCCATAAGAGATATCAACTAAAGCAAAACTACCACTTCATATCTCATGATAATTTTTTTTTACTTTACCCAACTTGAATGAAATGTGACAGGTTCAAATTTATTTCCTTGAATCCTTGAATTACAAATATTCTTCTCTGAATCAGTAGGTGTTGGTTCTTCATTTTTATACTTCCAACATTTGGGCAGCTTTGTCAGGTGATATGAAAGCGTGCATTTAACTTCTTTACCATTTTTGCTGGAAAGTTCTAAAGAAAGATGCTTCTCTTTTTCAAGATTATCTTTTTTGCAAGCCTGCGTATGCACTTTAGAATCTGCAAAAGTAAAAGGTAAACCTGGAACATGCTGGGTTTTGGTACAGTTCATCTTCTGGGTGAATTCACTCAATCTTAGTGTTTTTTTCTTGTGAAGGAATGAACTTTCTGCAGGTTTCACAGTTTCCTTGAATTCCTCCATTATATGTTTTAAAATTACTTTTTTAAACTTGGTGCTCTCCAGTTTATCTTTTTTTTTATCCTTCTCTCTGATGTTTATGATCCCCAAATCATGTGACAATTTCTTCCTTTTTTTGTCATCAGGATCTCTGCCACTCATGCCAGACTGTTCTTTATGAGAGAAGACGTCTATAGACTCCATAATGCTTCTTTTCTCACCAAGATTAGCTGTAGCTTTAAATTGCATGGTGATCTTTTCACGCTCTTCAAGAGGTATTAAAGCACTATTAATGGGTTGTGAGTCTTTTGGTATCTTTGCTTCAAGTACTGTACTAGAATTTTTGAGATCCAAACCCATTTTTGCTTTCACATATCCAGCACCACTCATTCTGCGAAAACATAGTTAAAAACCACTTTAAAGACAATTAAGACTGTGGGAGTAAACTGTGGATTTTTAAATTTATAATCCAATCTTTTATTTAATTAGGAAAACTTTACGAGAAAAATCTGAATTTATCAGTAGATTATTGATATACAGAAAATATGACAGGTAGCTTGTTATACAATTATTAGTCCCCTCAAAATGAAATACTTAATCTAATTCTAAAAATTAATTCTAAATTAGAAGCATCCTCCAGTTATTTTAAACTATATTCCCATATGACAATTTGATTTTATAAGAACTGAGATTGAAAACATCCAAAGAATATCATGTTGCTACATTAGGAATAAAAATTCTCATTTGTAAATTACAAATGACACAAGTATTACCATGTAGCTGAGGATATGCAATGGATGCCTATTTCTATTAGACATGGTACCTAGAAAGAACATCCCATAGGTTATTTTCTTTGCTTATGGCAATATAGCAACACATATATAAAGAAGTTACAAATAATATACAAATATAATAAGGTTATAAATGAAACTAAAAACAGTAGGTAATTTTCCCCAAAAATGGAACAATACTACAAGTAAAGTTCAGTTAGGGAAAGTAATAAAAGAAAGAGTAAAAACAAACAAACTATAAAATTGGTGTATTTGGGATTATTACAAGAGTATCATTTTTCCATAATTTAATTAAGTCAGGCAACTAAAATGATCCAATTAAAGATTCCAAATTAATCAAGAGATTTTAAACAATGTTGTTCTTTGTACTATAGCCCATTTAGATTTTTCAACCTCCAAAATATCAAGTTTTATTCTTCCTATGAAAGAAAAATACTACCGTTGGTCCAGATGTTCTTTTGCATGTCTATTTCCAATTTCTGCTGATTCTGGTTTCTGAACAAATAAGAAATTTCTTTATAAGCATGTGTGTTTTCTTATATTAAATAAATATTATTTCACAATAAGGAGAGCAAAACTGCATGGAATTTCACTATATTATATGCATCATTCTTTCTTCAAAGTCTGATACAGGATATGATCTCTGAGTCATACTATACTCTTCTCTTTCACTTTGTTTTTACTGTACCATATTAACAGTAATATTCATTAATCTCCATGGGCTTGCACATACCACTTCATACAAATTTCATTAAGATTCAACAATAACTATTTCTTGATCTTTGTTGTTTATATTATTCTAGATACGTTTTGGTAACTTTTTCTTTGCACAATCTGCATTTGTGATGTTAATTCCTGTAGACGTTCAGTGTTTGGCAGAAATAACTACTATTTTGTAGCCTAAACATTGACAAGAGCCTTCTAATCTTGCTGTCCTTGAGTTTCTGCAAAAGCTTAACTAGTATGTCTCACTGTTACAATTCAACATCAAAACCCTAAGTTTCTCTAAGTTTGATACTCTTTGTCCATCTAGAGTGTTAGATCAAATGTTTCATGGTCCTCATATAATATGTATAAATATACTACTTCTGTTGTCTTTGTTTTGCCCATCAGAGCAGTGAAAAGATTCCCAAGTATTTAGGTTTGGGTTTTTTGTTTTTTGATCCAGAGACAATAAGAATACCAATGAATACCAATGAATAAAGGGATTTTAAGTTTTATTATCAACTTAAGCAAACAGATTTAAAAGTATAACATAAAAACCATACATACCAAGTAAGATGACTTTCAGATCTCTTACAAGCTGCCAGGAGCTTCTTAATAATATTGCAGAAATAACTAAGGGGTGGCAAATTTTCACAGTAGCCAATGCAAAGTTCTGTGCAGAAGCTCCCAATAAACAACAACAATCCCAAGGTTTTTATCAAAACTTGGTCAGGAGACTGCAAAACCTGACCTTGACTGAATGGCATGCAGTCTCCTGACCAAGTTTTGACTCTGGGATTGAAAGCAAGAATCTTTCATAGACAGAAAATCTTTGAAGCTACCGTAGGTGAAGCTCCCCCGCTTTCTCCTTTATTCAGCAACAACCGTAAAAACAAACAACATTGCTTGCTCAGAAAAGCTGTAAAATTATAGACTTTTCTTAATATGAGGGAGAAATCAAATTTGTATCAGTAAACTGCTTGAAATTACAATGGATTCTCCACTGCTACTACAAATTGCTGCTTTGCAAATTTTGCATTTGTTATGAACAAAAGCTCATCAGCACTAAAAAAATAATGTTCAATTCTTACTTTCCACACTTGCCCTATTCTATACACCTATTTACACCATGAATCCACCATGGGAAATAGAAAAATTACATGTTTATGCTTCAATATTTTTTACCTATTTGACTTTATAAACTCTCTGTCCTTGGCACAATCTGAGAACTTAATATATTTTTCTTGTATTTTTATTCAATCATACTAAAAAAATAACATTGTCAATATGCAATCTAAATTTTGTTCTGCATCTGAAAAGCCTGGTTTGGAACTAAAATAAATATTTGAAAATAAAAATATTCTAGGAAAAGTCATTTATTCTTCTACAACTGTTACCGAAACACTGGACCACATCATGTCTTCAGCAGCTTTCTAGTTTGCAGTTTTGTGTGTATATAAGCTAGCCACTCTTACACATTCTCTTAATTCCTAGAGAATAAAGCTTCTTGCCCCATTCCTGTTCGGCCTTAAAGCATTAAGAAGTAACTGATGTGCGGAAAAAGCACAAAGCATAATATTTTAGATGGTTTATGTTTAATTTTGTTAGGTAATAAAATGTTATATTGACTTAAATTACATCCAAAATACATAGAAGAAAAGCAGATTGTCCGTATATTTTTAATACTGCAAACATGGTATTAAGACTGAATATTATCACTGATCATTGACCATATCACTAATCATTGATTACGTACAATTCATGGTGCCATCTTAGCATTTTAATTATTTTTATGAAATGAAAACTGTAATCATTATTGTTGTTATTTGCTGCCCATCTTGCTGTCACACAAATCTGGATAATTTACAATCCAATAAAATCATAGTATCAAAGACTGAAACAGCAAACAATAAATATATTAACAAGAAATAGTAAGGCAGCAGGGAATATACAATAAAGGTCAGACCTTCTATTAATCCAGTAATCACCTCCAGGCTAACACACTCCTCTCTGGGCCACAGGCCTATTGCTAGAACCAGGTTTAAGACTTTACAAAGGGTAAAGAGAGTGAGAGCAGATCTCACTTTGAGGGGAATGAAGTTGCTGATCGTGGCTTCCATTGCCGAAAAGGCTCTTCTCCTGAAATCAAATTCCTTGGTTGACAGGATCCACAGCATGCCCCTTCTGCCAGCACAAGTGGGGTGGGCCAATCCCACTGAAATTGAGACAGTTCCTCAGCTAATATAAAAGTAATAGCTATATTTTCTTACCTTTTTATCCAAGGTGTCATCCTTTTGACTGGATTTCTTTTTGTGTTTTTTTGACATGTCTAGGTCTTAAAATCTGGAAAAAAAAAGTACTACAGTCTTAATTACTAGTATGCTTAGATGTCTATGGAGATTCTCAGTTATCCAGGTCATGGTGGTTTAAAAGGTGCTTTTTCAAGAGGCAACTGGACTTTCTGGTTTTTCTTTGAAGATGTTTTGCTTCTCATCCACGATGTCCAGTTTTCTCTTGAAAAACCACTTTGGGGACCAAGTGTTTAGATATTTTTCCAAGGAGTTATGTAAAGTGCAAAAGCTCCAAATAGGTTGGCTATTCCTAATTTAAGCAGTGAATACTATAGTGGAATATCTCTGACTTTTACCATAGGTTTAATCTGAAATTTAATGTAATACAAATGAATCAATGACAGATTATAAGGAAAGGTGGTGGTGAAGGAGAGAAAACAAGGATATAATCTTTTGTATGCTCGTGTGTTAGTTACATGATATATATTATTACTTAGCAAATGGATTACAGTCAATATGTTAGATTTATCAGGAATCATTTCAAAAGACAACATATTTGTTAAATAATAGATCATAGTTTGCTGCTATAATGCTTTTGTAAAATTGTGTTAGTTTTAATAAAAAAGATAGTGTTGCCCATGTCCCTTAAATCTTCCCTTTTTAAAACACTTTACTTGTGCATTATAAATATGTGAAGGTTAAAAAGGTGAGTCAGCATTCTTGTAATACCCAAAGTCATGAAAATGTAGAAATTATAAATCTAGATGAACTTATTTTTAGGTGATGGACATATGGAGACTGTGTCCACACTATTAAGAGAAAGGTTTATAGAGCATAAAAGATTTTATGGTTTTGCTTGGAGACTGAAACTGAAATAGAATTATCCACTGATTACTAAATTATGTACTGTTATTAATATATATAAACTTTTATTGACATATGAGACAGAAGAAGAGCAAGTGAAAGAATTCATGATAAACTGGGCTAATTTTTTTGGCTATAATATACAAATAGACCAATGGAAAATATGTGGTTGAAGGGACTGAAATTCACCTTATCTTCTAGATTTAAGATAATTTTTAGAAAATGATGTGTCACAGGTATTTGTCACTAGAGAAATTGTCTAGAATGTATTTCAAATCTTTGCTGGAAATGTGTGAACAACATGAAGAGACATTTTATCATGTTTGGTGGACACGTAAAAAAAAAACCCCCAAACATCGTGGATGCAAATATATACTTTTAATTCAGAAGATTTTAAAGGTTAAAGTACAACTGGAACCAGAGACTTTTGGGGGGGATTAATGAAAAAACAATTAGAAAAAAGACACAGGATTTTGTTTTCATATATGACAACTGCAGCAACATTACTATATGCCCCAAAGTGAAAAAAGGCTTGATGCTACTTATGCAGAGGAATGGTTGGTCAAGATGATGGAACTTGCAGAAATGACTACATTAACTGCTTTCATTAGAGAAAAAGCAATATCTACATTTACTGTCAATTGGAAATCCCTTACACTTTTTGATTGAAACAGCAAAAAATATACTTATGATTGTGGTTTTGATGATTAGAAAGGAACAGTATAATGGAAAATGTATAAAGTATAATTTTGTGATTATATTTGCTGCAAAGGAAATCTAACAGTTCTATTTTTGTTTTGGATCTTTTTAACTTTTGTTTTCCTCTTTTTTATATGTTCTTTATTGGCGTTAATTTTTAAGCTTTTTATAAAACTTTAATAAAAAATATGCAAAAAATAGAGCAAGTGATCGAACATCAAAGGACAGAGTTAAGTTTGAAAATTGAACAACAGAAAACACTGGTTTTAGATAACATTCCACAAGTGGCAAATGTATGGGTTACATTATTCCTTTTCCCAGCTGTGTTTTTATCTTCCTTAAAACTTGCAAGTGTATTCAACCATTTTCTGAATAAGTGTTGTTTACTTCACCAGTAGATTAGATTTTGTACATTAAATGAAAGAAATGGCTTTGGCTAAAAAACATGGTTTACTGAATTTCAAAAGGAGGCATGGGTGATGCCATGCTGAAATGCTAATACCACCTTTATTAAAAGGCTAATTAATAATGAAAACATGATCACGTTGAAATTTAAAAGGAAACCAACATGTAAGTCTTTTTAAAAACTACTTTAGGCATGACCTGCTGTTTATGTTTCTATGTGTGATGTTAAAGTTACACTAAGAGGGGGAAATAGTGGACATTAATGTTTTCTTATCATGACTGTGGACGTTTACTCTTTTTTTTAAAAAAAATAGCTATTAAAAATAAAAGAGCAAATACACCCGCAGTCTTTGTTAAAATGGATAAAGAAGTACTGGAAAGTGGTGTCAATAAAAGATCACCGCAACGAATATCACAGTCAGCCAAACCGATTACCACAGCACAGGGGAGGGTTTCTAAGTTCTACTATATCCATTTTAAAAGACTTTTCTCTTCTCGTGCGCTTGTCCACTTAAACACACACACTCTGTAAGTAAATGAGTCCAATTCGGTTGTTCAACCAGTCTCGGTTTGACCGGAGTTCATTAAAGAAACCGCAAAACTGAATTCAAGTACCACGTCAAAACCTAAATGAAACCAACCTTACCTTGTAGCTTTTGAGGAAGTGGGCACGACTTACACACGCACACCCGAATCAAGATTCCCAGTAGCTCCACAACCTTTTCAGAGGGATCATTTTGAGTTCCTTAAAAAGGTTTTTTCTTTTTTTTTTTGCCCCCCTCACGTTTGTACGACTCTTTCTCGGTAACTAAAGGACACCTCCGGGCCAAAAAGTATTGGCCATTCGTCTTGGCTTGTTTTCCTCTGACGTCTGAGGCACCCACAGCTTCTCCGCCCTCTTGCAATTTAAAAAAAAAAAAGGGCCCCCTCCGGCAGCCAATTGCGTCCTCTTTTACGTTCTACTGTAACCGGTCGATTTTCTGTCTCCTATTAGAAGAGCATAAAAACTCTGTCGAGTTGCACGCTGGGTATAGTAGTTCACCAACTGCCAGCGGAGCTGTACAGTGGCAAAAAAAAAAAAAAGGCCTTGTTGCCTTCAGGGTGGTGGCATTTTGGGAATTGTAGTTCTCGAGCCGCGTTGGATTTCGGGTGCTGTAGTGGGGGTAGGTTCAAAATGTCACGAAAGCGTTGCTTCGCACTTGCCCTCCCGAACTACACCAACGGCTTGGCCAGCGAGGGACAGCAGACTGAGGAGTAGGAGGAGGGTAAAGCAATCCTCGCCTCTTCAACTTCGCTCTGTGGGGGAAAAAAAATGGCGGCCCAGGACTCCCCGCTGCCGTTGTTACAAGTACCGCCCTCGCCCCCCAACGAAGAGAGACTTAGGGAAAGCAGGGAGGATAAAGAAGATAAGGAGGCCGCGGAAGAGCTGAGTGAGTATAAGGGGAAGGGACAGGAACCGCTTTGCAGGCTGAGGGTTTTTTTGCCATGTGGAGAAGGAGGGGGAAAACTGTTTTTGTTTTTTGTTTTCCCCGCCGGCCTTTCTTTTCCTTGCCTACGCCGCTTGAGAGAAAGCTTTTCAGACCCGTTTGAAGTCACCTTCATATGTTAGGCACGTCGGTCAGAGGTTTCCTGACTTCCAGGCGGTGCCTTTCTTTTCTTGGACCACCTGGGCATCAGCGGGAACTGATTTAGGACGGGGGGGGGGGGGGGGGGGGGGGGGTTGTCGTTGTTTGCAGGGATGCAACTGTTAGCGTCCTTTAAGGGGGGAGAGAGAGAGAGGCAGGCTGGCTGCGGGCCCTCAATTGTTCCTCCTAGAGGGGACTAGTTGCAAAAAATATATATTTTTCTTTCATTAAATGTGCTTTAGTGTGTTCAGGATGTCTTTTTCAGGCGGGAAGAGAGGAAATAGGTGGCTTCCCCATTTTTCTTCAGGTTGGAAGATAGCATTGTCAGGAGACAGATATCTCTTTATTCCCCAGTACAGTAAAGCAGTGGTTCTCAACTTTATCTTCACCACAGATCCCCTTTATATACCTTTTGTGCCCACAGACCCCTAAGACTTAATTCAAGATTTAAATCGTAATATTTCTTCAAGCCTTTGCGTCCCGCCCCATTTTTGTGGTCTGCCGGTTGAGGATAAATAGGTAAATTGCAACTAATTAGTAGAATTGTATGGTGTATTCCTTGATGTATGGTTCTCAGATAGTGGCAAATGCTATTTATCAGATCCAAGGGCTGATATCAGGCTTGATTAGCAGTGAAGGCTCCTAGGAAAAGCCCATCAAACATCAACTGCCTGCATTTATGTTCCTCAATTGCAGTCATCAAGTCTAGGAACATCGTGGTTCTAGTCTGATGCTTTCTTTCTGGACAGCTTTGGTGTTCATGATTTTATTGTTTAAACAGATATTGCTGCCAAACAAACAAATCCTGTATTAATAATTCCTTTGGGAAGCTTAGTACTTCATTGTTCAAGCAGTACCAGATTGAAATCTTCTTATTCACTGTCAGCTGTTTTTCAGTCACTTGCCAATTGACTCTGGAGAGATATGTAGCACATGGAAGCTAAATCTGGATCCATGGAAACAAAGCTTTGTTAAGCCTTACCTTTTCGTCCTCCTTTCATCATATTTCTAAAGTTGAACATTTGTCTGAATTGTTTGTTGAAATGTCTGCAAGCAAAAAAAACTAAGCTCAGAGAGCATCAAGGACTTCACATTTCATATACTGTAGTCCAGGGGTATCAAACTGGTGGCCTGTGGACCAGATGCTTCATGTGCAGGCCACGCCCACCCCACAAAGGCAAAAACATCATGATATGTCACGTGATGTGATTGAGTTTGACACTCGTGTTGTAGTCAAAAGGGGGAAATCACAAATATATTCTTTTCAAGCTAAATTCCAACTTGCTAAGGGTAATCAAAGCCCAAGGAAATGGAAAAATTCCTTATCCAAGCAAAAACATTTTTAAAGAATTGCTTTTTTTTCTGGATATATATGGT